GCATTTTTTGTGGCTATTTCTTCTGAAATTGAACCCACACATTATGTCGGGGTTGTTTGAGATCCCCAATGGAGAGCAGTAATGCAAAAAGAAATTGATGCCCTGTAACGAAATGGCACATGGTCACTTCAAACACTACCTCCTGGCAAGAAAGCTATTATTTCAAATGGGTGTATCGTATTAAGTACCGCAATGATGGTACAATTGAACGCTTCAAAGCTCGGTTTGTTTTATGTGGCAATCGTGAGGTGGAAGGCATAGACTATCATGAAACATTTGCCTTGGTTGCTAAAATGGTTACTGTACAAACCATTCTCGCAATTGCAACCTCCTCTAACTGGGAGTTTCATCAAATGGATGTTGATAATGCATTTCTTCATGGCGATCTCCACGAAGAAGTATACATGCACTTGTCACCTGGTTTTTCATCTACTGGTAAAAATTTTCGACTATCTCGCTATTTATATGCTCTTCGTCAAGCCCCACATTGTTGTTTTTCTAAACTCACAACCACACTCAAATCTTATGGCTTCCAACAATCTTATGCTCACTATTTGTTTTTTTACGTACAAGAGAGGCAATGATTTCTTATGCATTTGATATATGTTGATGACTTGCTCATTAGTGGCAATAAATATGCATGAATTTCTGATTTTAAGCACTTTCTCTCCAAAACTTTTCCTGTTAAAGATTTGGGCCGCCTCAAGTATTTTCTTGTAATTGAAATTGCTCAATTCTTCTGGTATATTTTTGTGTCAACGGAAATACACCTTGGACATTTTGACCAAAGCTGGTTTAAGTGGAGCTAAACCAACATCTTTTCCCATGGCCCAAAATCATCGCCTCCATTCCGATGACGGACCTCTTTTTTCTGATTCTGACAAATATCGATGGACCATTGGAAAGTTGGTCTATTTGACACTCACTCGTCCTGATATATCTTACTCCATCCACATTCTATCCCAGTTTATGCAAATCCCTTGCCAAGCTCATTGAGACGCTGATATACGAGTATTGCACTATCTCAAGGGGTGCCCAGAAGAGGGCCTGATGGAGTATATGGCCCGGGAACCCCCGGCCCACAGACTCCTACTACTCCAGCGAAGGCCCAACAGGCCCAGAAGGCCCAACAGGCCCAGATCACAGCGCCCAGAGTACTAAGCAGCCCGCACTACGCGCCAGGGGTGCCTTCGGCCCCCTGGCCGAAGGCTCTAAACTCTCACAGAACGGGCTTCTCAAGCAAATTAAGAAACTGGGAGAAAACGGCGAAAACAGCAGCCCTCGGCACTGTGAGCCCTCGGCACCAGGGTGCCATCGGTTGGAGGAGCCCTCGGCTACTGCTCCATAGCCGAAGGCATCTCACTCGACAAGATATCCGCCTCACATGCGTACAGATCACCGTACCCTGCACAGACGTCCCATCAGACAGCCGCATTAAATGCGGCCACATGCGGCTGCCAGCGCCAACCAGTTGAGGTGACCCCTCGGCCAATGAGCGCTTGACACGTGTCCCTGTCCGGCATTTATTGCTACTATAAATAGCACCCCATTTCCCCTTTTGTAACCACGACATTCATACTGAATACACTCTCTCTCTACATTTACTTATTCGCTCTGACTTCTCTCTAAGTTATTCCCAGCAATAACCCTTCGGATATATACCCCCGGGTAGACTATCCATCAGGGCCCCTTGATCCGCAGTGATTCTCCGCTACATTTAGTTGGTATTGTGATTCTAATTGGGCCAGTTGTCCCCTCACTCATCAATCTGTTACAAGATACTTTGTTACTCTCGGTCAGTCTCCTATTTCATGGCACACCAAAAAGTAAGCTACACTCTCTCGTTCTTCTAGTGTCAAAAAATGGCAGTTGACAGTAACAGTAAAAATGTAGTTTTACTCGACAGACCGTAAAAAATCTGATCATATCCAAAGGTCTGCGCGATCAAAAAATAGCTCCTAAAGAAAATTGTAGTTTTTCAAAAGATGGGAGGAAGTAAATTTATTAACTTTTCTCACACCTAGGCTATGTTTGGCAGACATAAATCTCTGTCTTCTAGCTTTTGTACTATTTAAAAAGTCTCTAAAAGCTCCTAGTTATATGTTTGGTATGACAATTTTATAAGAGATTTTCAAAAAATAAAAGATCTTTTTTGAGATGCTATAGGGAGTACCATCTGAGCTTTTAACAGTAATTAGTCCCAACAGCTTGTATACCAAACAGAACTAAACCAAATAGTCAGCTTTTTACCAAACAGCTACCACCTTTTACTTTAAAGATCTTTTCAGTCACTAAAAGCTAACAGTTACTAAAAAGGCTGTAAAAGTATCTATTCAGCTAGTTGTGCACTTGTGCCAAACATACCCCTAAACTCTAAGGAAATTTTTGACCATATATATATGAATTACTCCTTAAAGAGTAATTAGAGGAGAACAGATGATGTCTCGCGGACCTGTAGTTCAGAATAAAAAGTTTACACTCCCCATGTGCAAACGTCCGCAACACGATAGCTGAAAAATTTAGTGGGTCTCAAAATGGTATCATTTCATCTTTTTTTTGTATCAGATTTGGTTTCTGGTAGGGTTGGATTCGGTTCGGGCCACCCGGCCCGTGACCGGGCCCGGCTCGGTACTGTGCGGGCCCGGGACCGGCCCGGTCGGGCGGTCTGGGACCGGGTATGTACCCGAACCGGTGGGATTGGGCGGGGCGGGCTCGGTGCTGGATTAATGTGACCCGGCCCGGCCGGGTCGGGCCCAGGCCCGGGACCGGTCTTAATTTAAAAAAAAAAAATTGGGTCTTGGCTAGTGGGCTACTAGCCGTTGGGGGTGGGGCTGGGGACAACCCAAACGGCTATATAGCCGTTGGGTGGGGTAAAGGGGGGGTCCGGGGGGTTGGGTGGGGGTGGTGGGGGGGGTGGGGGGTAAAAAACCTATAAATACTCATAATCTTAAACATTTTTTCATCTCTTCTCCAATTCTTCCTAAATCCTATTCTTAACTCCCTACTCTCTAATTCTCTTATTCTCCAATATATTATATTTATTATTTATATATCTACTTTATAGTTTATACTTAAGAAGTTAAGATGGAAAATCAAGATGCCATTATACGGTATAATTTTGATAAGCAGAAGGACCCGAAGACCGGGATGTGGTACGCAATTTGCAAATGGCGCGAGAAAAAATGTAGCATGGGGGTTTCAGGCGGATACGGGATGGCAATCAAGCATATGAAGTCATGTGACAAAGCTAAAGGATCGGGGGGTGTGGGAAGTTCCGATTGATTACAATTTTCAAAATGTTTGTCTCTTAAAGTTTGTTTTAATTTTCAAATGTAGTTCCTATTTCATTTCAAATAAATGCACTTGAAGTTTGTTTTTAATACTCGTATAAAACTATAAACTATAAAATATAAATTATATAAAAAAAAATTAACCGGCCCGGCCCGAACCGGACCCGACCCGTGACCCAGGCGGGTGGCCCGGCCCGAACCGGACCCGTCCAACCCTCGGGCCGGTCCCGAGCCCATGTCATACAAACCGGCGGCCCGACCGGGCCTAGGCCCGGCCCGAGTCCATCACCAGTTTCTGGACAAGTGCTTCGAACAAGCTTTAGGTTTTCAGGCGAAGTGGGTTTCCGGATAAATTAGATTTCAATACGAAGTGGGTTTCCGATTTCCGAATATGATGAGTTTAAATCAACTGAAAACAATTAGATATACTTGTACTTTACTATTTTTTGAATCTATTTATCTAGTTCAATCTAATCTAATCTATGAAAGTCGGATTAAATAAAATAAAAACAATCCATTTAAAAACATTCCTTGTGCCAAAAAAATATATGGGCGATTCAATCAACTAAAAAATGCGCCGACTTCCGCATTGAGCCCATCATCTTATGTTTGGATGGACTCAGGCCGGGTGACCCGACCCGAAATCGGCACCGGACCAGCACTATTCCGGCCCGGTCAATGACCGGTCCGGGTAGGCCCGACCCGTGGGTTTTCCGATCCAGGCTTGGGTCACCCAAAATAAGGCCCAACCCGGCCAGGCCCGGGCCCGGTTCGGGCCAAAACTATTTTTTTCAATTTTTTTAAATTTTCGGGTTGGGTTTGGTATTTTGGGCCATTTGGGGTGGTTTGGGGGTTGGGGGTGGGAGGGGGGTTAATTAGGAAGAAGGGGAAAAAAAATTGATAATGGGCCCGAACCCGGACCGGACCCGAACCGGACCCGGTGGTTACCCGGGCTGGTCCCGGATCCACCACTCCTGAACCGCCGGCCTGCCCGGGCCTAGGCCCGACCTGGACCCGGCCCGGGCCCGAGTCCATCCCTAATCTTATGCTTCAACAAATTTATAACAGTTTGCTTATGAACACTGCACACACCCTTGTTAAGTTGTTATCCAATCGTAATTGCAAACAAAAAATGCTAATAAAAAGAGAGAATTCCCTAACTAGGTGTAAAAAAGTTTTGAAATTCCAAAATAGGAGTATCATGTTTTTTATTCTTTGAATATGAGTAAATTTCTGCCAAGTTTGGCATTACTATGCTTTAAAACATGGCATTTTTTCCCAAACTTGGCAGATTACTCCTATTCAGGCCTTCAGGTAATAAAAAAACATAATACTCATATTTTGGATTTCAAAACGTTTTTGCTCCTATTTAGAGCAATTTGTAATAAAAAAATTTGAAAAATAAATAAAAGTCCTTCATTTTTTACATAATAGTCGCAGCGGCAGCACACGATTTCAAGTTTTCAACCGAAACAGGCCTCACCCAACAGCCTCTCAATTCATACTTATATTATTGATAACAGCTTATTACGTGATCAAATTTTCACAAAAAATCACCAGCTAGGCGAGTAGGCAGGAAGAATACAAATGATGCCATCGGTAATTCCACACTTCCCCCACAATTTTGCAGAAACCAGAATGCATGCAATGACGCAAAATTTGCAAACAAAGCTAAAAATAAAATAAAAGGCAGCAGTCCTTAGTATGAAACTACTACGTAGTATTATTTAAAGGCGGCCAGTAAGAACTCAGTACATCTTTACCCAAAATATTATCAGAGATTGTGAAATTACAAATATCACCTTGTCGAGTAAAAATCCTACTTCATATTTACACACAAGAACTACTACCATCAACTAACTTAACTGCACAATCAAAATAAAGATTACATGATAAAATGCATCTGAATCATCTGATTGGTCCCTATCTGTTTTTTCATATATATTTTTACCACTTTTTCTACAGAAAATTTACTTTCTACTCTTGTGTAGTCTCTTACTCATTTGGTGTTCATGGTTTTTACCAAAAAAAGGAGAAAAAGAGAATAAAATGTACCCATAATAAAACGGTGGGTGTTAGTGGAAGAGGACACTGAGTGAAGAGTAGAACCAATCAGGATTGCCAAAACAGTTCGGGGTCATTAGTATACAATGACCTGTCCTGAATCTCTAGATTAGCAACATGCCAATTTATGAGTCGTGATTGGATACACTTGCACACCACCAACGCAAATGGGAATATCCACCATACGCTTTCTCCCCTGCACCATCATCATACATCAGTGTTTTAGCCGCAGACTATTGGTTAAATCTCTCACCTTTTTATTAAAAAAATAAAAGAGATGATTATTCTTACATGTTCAATGGCTGAAAGTATGGAAGTTTCTTGCTTGATTGGGTGTAATATTGCACATATCCGCAAATAAATGCAACCACCTACATTCAAAACGGCATATTGAATTGAGGAATATATACTAGTATTTAATATAAAAGGAATGTCATAAAAGATAATAGTGCTGGAATACAAAAAGAGAAACAGGGCTGGAAGCCTGGAATTCATAAAGAAAAAAACAATGGGACAGAGAAAGGATACTCTGTTTCTTTTGTCCTTCCCTGTGTTATTTATATAAAAGAGAATTGAAAAAAATAGAAATTAAAAAACATTGTTTATTGGCAAAAGTAGGACAAGGAATGAGCCGGAAGATGTAATTGTTAAGCCACAAATTTGTATCGAGGAAATTGACTGAATAGAGATTATAGCCCGTGATAACATAGCTCAGTTTGATGGAATCAGATGTGGTTTGGCAAAGCATAACAAAATGTAGAGCCTGTTTGGTAACACTGAAATTGGATGAATTGGTTAATTATGCTGAAATTTATGAAGTTCTAACTGAAGTGAGTGGTTTGGTTGATTCTGCTGATTTATGAAAAAAATTGTATCTAAAATATATTTTATTTATAAAATTAAGAAAATACTATATAAAAATAGCTAAAATGATACAATAACGTCAATCAATTCAACCTGAAAAGTAACTCCAACCTTACTTATTTTTATTATTACACAATTCAACGCGTGAAATTAAAAGTTACGTGTCTGGTGAAAAAGTTAGCTAAAACAGAAAAAACGCGGTCACCAAACAGGCTCGTAATGTAGCAAAATGTATAATGCAAGTCTACCCTATGAATACATTTGATGACACATCACTTGTTATTGTTGCGATTTATCAAAGAGCTACACCTAAGTGACGCTCAAACCGGGCATAACTCGACAAAAACTTACAACATTAATCAGTGATGTGATGTTCCACAAAGCATATATACGTGCAAGGGCAGCAGAACGCCTCGGTCCATGACTAAATAAAGCATTGATCCCGGCGGGGAACGCGAGTAATAGTGCAAGCGGTAAAACGAACAAAACCAGAAAGACATGTGCCATTGACACTGAATACAGCTGGAGAAATGTTAGCAGCACTAAGCTAAAATCTCCAAGTAACAGCATCGAGATTACCAGCCCAACAACATCCTGCAATACATCAGAATATAATATTTATTATTCTTACTATTATTATTATTACTATTATTATTATTATTATTCAAACATCGAGATAGACTGCAAGTCTGCAACCAAACTGAAATGTGGGCAAGAGATATATAGAGAGAGAGAGTGAAAGAGAGACATCACCTGGTGACCAACTGGTCTTGTGTTATGAATTAGACAAGAGAGGACATAAAACAAATCTCTTCTCTCCTTAAGCATCTTTAAGCCATTGATATCTAAAATACCGCCATAGGCTTTCCGCTTTAAAGAGCCTCCACGCACTTCATTTGAGATTAAGTCTTCCTTCATTTGGTCACATGGAATCTCACCATACATACTGCTACCACTATATTATGGAAATAAATGAAACAAAAAAACAGAGTACATAATGCAAAGTATAGTTTGATTGAAACAAACACCTGTTTTATTGATAGATACATGTAGACTACAATTCAGTTCACAATTAAGACATTATTTGTTTCTATAGAAATGAGATGAGAAATGGAGAGAACCAAAGAGAAGGAAAAAAGAAAAAAGATGCAGGCCCTGGCCCTTATTTTGAGTAATGGCGGTTTTGTAGTTAAACAATATCATATGTTTCTCTTTCTTTTTTACTCATATTTTTCTAATGCCAAACCGTACACAAAATCTACATCTTTTCTCACCTTCTTTCTTCTCTATTTCTCTTGCGCACTAAGATAAGCATACAAGACATAGAGCATGAAAGTTTACCATGAAAAAACACTTCTACATTCTCCATTAAGACCTTCACAAGGCCTTTGCTCAACTTCTTCAACAGCACGTACCAAAAGCCCATATTGGATATAAATGCCAGTGGTGGCTCGAGACCAAACAAGATCAACAAATATACCATGCTCTCTTAAAGCTGGATTGGCAAAGTCCTCAAGCCATCTAAGAACAGGGCGAAATGTTTTTCTAAAACAACCCCGACGTACCAAACGCAATTGTGCATTCAAACCAGCTACAAATCGATACCACGTAGTTGGTTGGACACACTGGAATTTGACATAAGGTGAGTATGACCAAATGGCAGTAAATAAAGGATAACCCTCAAAAGAAAAGAAAAACATATTTAGTAGAATCATAGTATACACTGCAAAAAAAATCATTTAAATTCTTAAATGAAGAAAATGAACCTGACTCATGAGGCTGGTGATAATATTGTCATTGTTAAGCAAGAATGGAGCCATATAGCTTGCATCACCACCAAACAATAGAGACATAGGAAGCCTTTGATGAAGACGGGGAGGAAGATCACTTCTTTTTTCATCTCCACCGAGAAAAAAGTCCATGTATGCCAGCATTAAATCTGGAGTTGCGTTTACCTATTTATTCAAGACTATAAGTGACTACAAATTTCATTTACTATAACAAAACAAATAAAACCACAAACTCAATTTCAATTAGTACCATCCCACACAAGAAACGATAAGCTAATAAAAAATCATATATATGCTGAAACATAAAAGTACACATCATGGTTCAATGCAACAACATCCAAGCCTTAAGCCCAAAAGAATTTGGGGCCGGCTAACGTGAATCGACATATGGCATCAGAGTTAAAAACAATATATAGAGAAAAAGGGGACAAAAAAAATCAAATCACTCCTCCGCACGTATACCCCCCCCCCCCCCCCCCCCACTTTGTTGTCTTTAAAATCATACTCCCATCTAACCCATGAATTACTCATATCATTCTTGATGACTCTAACCCACGTTTGTCTAGGTCATCCCCTCCCTTTCCTCCCTGTATCCTATCCCCACCTTTCAGTTCGTCTAATTAATGGATCACTCTGTACACACATGACCAAAATCAACGCAATTGAAACTCTCGCATCTTATCTACAATAGGTGTTAGTGTGTTACTCTCACTTTTTTGTCTGATTATCTCATTTCTCAAGTGATTTTTTCTAATATGTCCACACATACAATGCAACATGCACATCTAAGTCGCACTAATCTTTTAAATGTGAAATTGTTTTCCCCAACACTTTACACCATTTATAATGAAGGCCTATAGTAGGCATACCTCAATTACATAGAAATCCTGACACTCTTCCGATTCATCCACCACGTTTGATTATATAGGATATATCTCCATCTAATTCATTGTGCTTCTGAACCATGGAGCTCAAGTAACGGAACATATCACCAACCGAGATCTCCTTACCATCCAAGGTAATCTCACATTTACCATTGTTTCTACCCCCACTACATTGCACTTTATATACTCAGTATTGCTTCGACCAGCCAAAAACCCTGTGTTATAACCCTGTGTTATAATCTCATTGTTACCATTGTTCCAACCCCACTAATATGCACTCCATATCCTGGCTGTTGCGTAGCCTCTAGGGTGATTTTCAAAAGAGAGTGTATCTGGTGTCTCATGGAAGTGCCACAAATTTGTTCCATTTGGCCCAAAAATCATTCATTTGATTAGTCGCCTAGTCGGGAATCTGCAGTGCGCATCTAGAACCCCTTTCTCTAGATTCAGTTTTGTAACCATAAATATGCATGTCAAGTAATCTACACGCAAACTAAGCCAACAACTATATCCCAGTTACAGACATTTTATCTTGTACATTTATCTAATGCTTAATGCATATTTTAGCTACTAGGTTAATTATCAATTGCTTATGCATTTTTATTTATCATTCATACATGTTGATGTGTGCGTACAATATTTTTAATTGTATACATATAAACTTATTTATAAAAAGAGGCCTTTTCTATACCCCATCTAAGCATCTGCCTAGCCACCAAGGCAATGGGTTGGACCTGACTAGTGCCAAATTGAGGGAAAATACCTGACTAGTCATGTATTTACTACCTCCGTCCCGAAAAGGTTTGTCATATTGACTTCTCTTGGTCAATTTCTATGCTCTTTTATCTTTTTATCTTTTATCTTTCTTATATTCTTATCTTATGGCTATCTTATATTTATCTCTATCTTATCCATTTTATCTTACCTTTTTTCCGTTTATCTTTCTTCTCTTTTTCGCACTGATATCATGAATCGATTCATCTTAGCCAACCTCAAATTCTTTTGGGATTAAGGCTTGGATGTTGTTAGATACAAGGGTCGAAGGAGGGAAATTGTTGTTTATTATGACGTGAATGAAGAAACTGAAAGAAAACGATACAAGATGAGCCCGTCTTTCCCAAAATCCCAGTCCAGAAGTCCCAATCCCAAGTTCTGTCTGCCTCTATTCTACTCCCCCAACTCCTATTTATTCTTTTCTATTTGGGCTAGCCCAGTGCTATTTAATTCAGGGCCTGAGCCCCTTTTATTGTAGAATATTAAAAGACTAACATTATTCTTATTAGTAGTACTATCTAGGTCTCTATCATTACTCCCCCTTTGACATCCACCTTGTCCTCAAGGTGGGGAGTAACTGAGTAGGAAACAGCCATGCCAGTCTGCTTTATCCTTGCTCCTCTGCCTTCCCAGTACTTCAGCTCGGATAGTTTTCTTCGTTTTGGTATCCACCCAATCTCTTTGTCAACATAGTGATCCTTTTGGCCAAGGTTGTTATCTCCTTTACTGCCCCATGCCTCATCTCTTAGAGAATCTCCAATTGAGAATACAAAGTCAGCTTCGGGACTGTAAGTCTCAGTCTTCACTTCAGCAACCCAGGAAGGTAAGACAGAACTCAGCACACTGCCACCGGGCCCACTCCATGTGCACAAGACTTCTCCCAGCAACGGCATCTCGTGCCCCTCTTCCCTTGTCTCATGGTTAACAGCACATCTGTACCTTACATGGTACAATATGTTTGCTTCCTCAACTGCAGGTTTCCCACACTTTATTATCAAAGATCACATCAATCCAATGGTGAAGTTCTGAACTAACATATTCACTTTCAAAGGTCGCCCTGTGCTTGCTTATAACTCCTATAAAAAACATTAACCCCTTGAGGGAGCATAACATCACCTATTGGCTCTCCATCTTGTTTTGGGCTTGGTGCTCCAACTGGTTTTGCAAGATCCGGGAAAGTAGACGATTTGATCAAAACCAGAGTTTCTAATGGACCATAAGCCAGAACCCAAGGAGACACAGGACACTCAGTTAACTCATTATAATATCTTCCAGCAAGTGTGTTGAGAACCATCACGTATTCAACGTTTGTAATCTCTTTTATCTTCCAACTTTCCCTAGAGATTTCACCCGACAGTTATTCAAGAGCAAACTCATCAGCAAACTCATCAGCCCCAAATCAGAGGATTCTCGAATTGCAGAAAGTACCAAATTGCAACTCTTTATGGTCACCCTATACTTGAGATCTGAATGAATGAAAACTGATCCCTCAATTGCACTAATCTGTGGATCATTCCTCACCCATTTCTTTTCCCAGGCACTCAGGTCTAAGACAACATCTGCACCCAAAGGAGCTTGGCCCTGTCCTTCATCAGCAACCCTCTTCTCTCTCAATCTGCTGTTAGCAAGTTGTAGAGCACTGTCACCCCTTTCCAGAAATATATCTGTTTCCCCCAAGTTCAGCAAATAGACATTCTGAAATATAATTACACCCTGCACAGAAGCTGGCCACCACAAAGCATCTCCAATTAAAATTACAAAGTCAGCTTCAGCATCGATTTTGACTGATGAATTTGGTTAGCCCTTCCCTATCCATGCTTTCAGAAGTCTTATCTGCTACAGCAATAATCTCTTCACAGTGATTGATCTTGTTCCATTCTATCATCATTCCAAAATCAAAATAAGCAAGAGGTCCATCCTTAACAGCAAACTCGGGAGGTTTCATATCTCCCCTACACAAGTAAACTGTCTGTCCTATGCCTACAGCTGCAGAAGTTTCGAGAAAGGATTCAAGCATCTCCTTGGTTGGGCTAGGATGACACCATATTAGAGAGTAGGTAGTACACTGGTTCATTATCTTTTCAGCAACAAAATTGTTGACTACTTTCAGTTGTTCAAAACCATAACCTTGATCGTAGTTCAACCTCATATCATCATAGGTAAGGATATCCGATTTACGCACTTCTGAACCTTCCCTATTGTCTGATGAGAATCATGTAGGTTGATTAACATCCACTTCAGGGTCTGATTCCGTAACTGATGGTGCAACCGGTTTCAATTTAGTGTTCCTTGTCATTGGTGGAGTCCCCTGGGGTCCCTTTCCTGCTGCGACTAGGTCGAAGGTTCTGGAAGAGGATGAATCTGAAACAAGGAGAGGAACGACACACGAGGATAAAGTCTGAGACAAAGTCTGAGAGCTGTGATGATAGGCAAGCACAGAAGTCTGCGAAGGAGGATCTTCTGCTGGCGACGAAGCTAGCGTACTGTGAGAAGAGGCTTGAAATGCCATTTGCCAACTGGTAAAAGCCTCTCATAATGACGATTGGTGAGGTACTCGTAATGAAGGCGAACTGGAACTGTGAGACGCGGAGAGTGATTCAGAAGAAACATGCGAACTCAGAACAACTGATAGCGAAGAAGTTGTCGATTGCGATCTGGGAGCTTCTTCGTGCAACACAGTCTGCGCACTTGGCGACGGAGAGGGAGCCTGGTTTCCAGAATTCGGAAACCCTGCGACGATTTTGATTCCTCGCCAGTTGGCGCAGCTCGGCTAACATTTCTTCCATCATTCCGCACATGTTGCGTGTCTTCTCCCTGACCGATCACCACCCTGTGGAGTTGCGCTCCATCTTCTGCGCTAGATTTTCCAAGCGATGATTGAGATTAGCCCCAGGAACGAACTGCTCTGATACCAGGATCGAAGGAGGGAAATTGTTGTTTATTATGCGCGTGAATGAAGAAACTGAAAGAAAACGATACAAGATGAGCCCGTCTTTCCCAAAATCCCAGTGCCTGCCTCTATTCTACTCCCCCAAAAGAAAACGATACAAGAAAACGATACCAGGATCGCAAGTTCTGCCTGCCTCTATTCTACTCCCCCAACTCTGATTTATTCTTTTCTATTTGGGCTAGCCCAGTGCTATTTAATTCAGGGCCTGAGCCTCTTTTATTGTACAATATTAAAAAGACTAAATTATTCTTATTAGTAGTAGTATCTAGGTCTCTATCAGATGTTGTTGTTGTTGTTCCATTTTTAGAATATTGGATACACAAGGCAAGGTGATCTTAATTGAGGGAAATTTTGAAATGTGCACCACATTTTTATTTTCTAAAAAATCCCCCTAAAAAAGGATCATAAAACTGTTGGGTCGGAGCCTAGAGAAGTGCTACTTTTCAACAAGGTCTTGTGGAGTAAAGATGAAATGAACTACAAAACGAAACTTAGAAGTTCAGGGGCACCTGTAATCGTCTAAGGAACTCACCTTCAGTCCTTCATACAGTGCACGTGATCGACAAGAACGTAAGCAAGCATGGTCATATTCTGATCTAACAAATTCACGGAGGCGTTGCAACTTTATTCTACGCCGCCATTGCTGCCATGACCATGCAAGAGGATATGCAAGAATACAGATGATGCTATACAATGCTCCTTCCCACCACTGATATGAAGCAATAGCATTGATCTCTTCCACAAAATTATTGAAGGGACTCTCGTATCTGCCAGCAAGACACTACATTTTTTAATCTAAATTGCTACTCAAAGAACAAAGAGAAAAAATGACCACTAGAAAACTTTAACCGAAATGAATAACAGAAAACTAGAAAGAGTAAGCACATACACAATCTCTTTTATTTGCTCCGCAGGTGTATGAGGTAAATGCCAAGGGTCACTGAATGTATTTGAACCGATGAAATACATTCTATGCACATGGCTCTGGGATTCCTCAACACGGTTTGTTTCCAAAACCTGCAAGCATGTAAGACTCAAAATCTGATTCCAGCATACAACAACAACATTACCCCAGTGCTGCAAAGGCTCCCATAGTCCCACCTACAGTGGGATAAGGGGGGTCGGATGTACACAGCCTTACCCTTGTGCTAAAGCACAAAGAGACTATTTTCAGATGACCCATGGTGAAAATCTTGTCGAAAATTGCATGGACTAAACAAAAAGTAAATTTTTTAATTATGTTCTATTACGAGTTCCACGATATTACTCCCGATGTCCCCTTTTTGGGCTGTCTCATTAATCAAAATAATCTCCTTTTTCCTATTTACTAAAAATGTGGGATTCTGGTTCTTAACTTCTTATCCTTCTATTTCTTTCTATACAAATCACAATAACACGTGTTTCACTTTGGTAAGCTGTGTCAAGTCAAACCCTTCAATCCTCTTCCCCTTTTTGGGCTGTCTCAATAATCAAGATAATCTTCTTTTTCCAATTTACTAAAAATGTGGGATTCATTGGTTCTAATCCTTCTATTTCTTTCTATATAAATCACAACGACACATGTTTCACTTTTGTGAGTTGTGTCAAGTCAAACCCAAAACACTATATAGGGAGAGGAGGAATATAAAACAAATTATGTTATGAGGTTAATGGGAAAACCTCATTTAGGGACTCAAGAAACGGAAAAGAGTGATCAATTTGTGAACCCTGTTGTGTGGGGCCAGGGCCAGGTGACTCATCAACCCCTACAAACTTCATCCGAGCCACACTTAAAACCAGGGCTAACAGAATCAAGACAAACAAGAGAAGAAGACCAAATAGCCACGGCCCTCCAAATGTGTAAACCAATTCTTCCAGAGTTGTATAGCAATGAGGCATGTGATATCTCTCTGAAATGCATTTGTATGGACAAGGTAGCTCAGTAACGCCACCTGTTGAGGGGTTATTGATGTTAGTTTACAGATTGGTTGTTTTATTATTAACAGGGTTCGTTAACTGGTATTCATGATATGGAAATAGATAAACTAGAAACCAATTATTTCAAGAGTATGGATTCAAAAAATAGTGGACATAGAAACATATGCAGATATCAATATAAGGAAACCAAGAAATTGCAGTTTCCATGTTTATAAAATGAGTTTTTGCCACTTTTAGTCCCTCGACTATTGTGTCAGTGACACTTTTGGTACTCGACTTTTAATTTTTCCACTTTTAGTCCTCGACTATTGTGCGAGAGACACTTTTGGTATCCGTCTGAAAATTTCCGTATTTAGTCCTTCGACTTTTGTAGAAGTGACACTTTTGGTCCTTCAACTATTGCTATAGAGACCTTTTTAGTCCTCCACTTATTGTGTCAAAATCATAGTAGAAGGACTAAAAGTGTCAATTTGATAATACTCAAAGGACTAAATGTGGGAAACTTGAAAGTAGAGGACTAAAAGTGTCTCAAGAACAATAGTCGAGGACTAAAAATGGAAAAATTAAAAGTCGTGTACCAAAACTCTAGGGACCAAAAGTGGCAAAAACTCTTTATAAAATGAATATTAAGGAACTCTTATACAGCTATCAACAAAAGAAACTTATCAATCTTACTTTACCTCGGATAGAAACATAAACTCCACGATTTGGAAGATCATCCTTTGGGCATGAAGTACAAAGGTCTCCATCAGATCCAGTAACATTCTTAAAAGTTCCAAGTGGACATGGCTGAACAGATATAGGAGATGAAACAAATGGTTTGAGTAGGATACTCAGCAGGGAAATGAGGCCAAAAAATACGGAGTAATAGATAATGTACTATTAAACATTAATTTGAAGGGGAAAAATACAAATATTATGAAGTTAGTTAATCTTTTGGCATCATTAGAAGTTAGTGATATTGCATTTTTGAAGCTAGGTTCAAAAGTTATTCAATCTTTTGTATCAGATCCAGTGGCATTCTTAAAATTACAAATAAGTATGGCATTGATATGAATTGTAGAAACTGTTAACAAGTATTTTTATCATTTTGGACATTCCATGAGATAGGTTTGCTCTTGTTCTTGTTCTTCTGTTACTGCTTGTCTTCAAGGTACTCTTAATCCTACTCTTAATTAATTCTATCTAGTCTTTCTCGTGCCTCTTTGCTGGTGGAAAATTCACTCTGTAGCTCTAAATTGCTAGCAAGTTTAGAAGTTCATTTGCAAACCACAGTAAATATAGTAATAAGCAGCTTCATTGTAGTACAAAAAACACAAGCTAAATGAAATATTATGAACTTACTTCACAGAATATTCCGTAAAGCCCTTTTGGGCAGGCTTTGCCAGATACTGTCCCATTTTGACCACTTCCTCCTTGCTTTCCACCCAGCCCTCCACTGGCAAATTATAACAGAAAAAACAATCAGTAGAAAATCAAAATAAGCAAAGGCCAGATGATAAAAGTCAGAGATAATTTACAGCAATTAAACATCTCTAGCAAATACAAACATCTCATGAAAATCGTCTGATCATGATACATATAGGTAATTAGACATTGATATGTAGTATAGTGTTGAACTTAGTTCGTGTGTAGGTATGCTTATGTATGTGTGCGTGCAAAGTGATAAGTAACCTAAACTATTCAGATTTCACCTGTCATCTCAAGAACTGCTACATTTGTCTCAACATATACACCCACACAGTTGTGGACTTGGTTTAAGAAAGCGCGCCTCAGGCGTGAGGTTTCCATCATTTGCAATGGAGCCAAAGATTCATTATTTTTTGGCTTGAGATTATGATGGAATAAAGCAAAATGGCTCAGTAAACTGTCTGCGTTTCTTTGTTATGGAGCAGCAGTCAGTCCATGCAATTTTGGACGCGATTTTCATTATGGGTCATCCGGAAACAGTCTCTCTGTGCTTTAGTACAGGGGTAAGACTGCGTACATCCGACCCCCCCTACCCCACCGTAGGTGGGAGCCTTTACGGCACTGAGGTAAATGAAAATGAAATGAAAATGATCATATACTCTCAGGCGCAGTAGATTCCAAGAGGCGCGCCTTATACAACGCCTTATGCCGCCTTTTGCGCATCTGAGAGGCGTCCGCCTCTCATGCCTCTTGGAAGTGTCTGATGATATGTCTTGAAAGCCTTTTAGCGATTCAGATATTACTTCCAGAACTTTTGTGGGCCTTATACCTTAATAAGGTAAGGTCCCCTCTAGGGATGGACTCGGGCCGGGCCAACCGGCCCGGAACCGGACCGGCCCGCTACTGTGCGGGCCCGGACCAGCCCGGTGAACCGGTTGGTTGGCCGGTTCGGGCCACCCGGCCCGGTGGGATCTCGGTTCGGGCTCGGGCCCTTCAAAAGGTGAACCGGCCCGGCCGGTTCGGGCCCGGGCCGGGCCAATTTTTATTTTTATTTTTATTTTTTATTTTTTTTTAAGTTTTTGGGTTGGGCTGGGTATTTTGGGCCATTTGAGGTTGTTAGGGTTGGTTTGGGGGTGAGGGGGAGGGTTGGGGGTTAACTAAGAAAAGCCCAAAAAAAATATAACCGAGGCCCGGTCCGGCCCGGCCCGGACCCGGTGGTTACCCGGGCCGGTTCCGGGCCTCCCATACCTTGAACCGAGGCCCGGCCGATTCAAGGCCCGAACCGGGCCCGGCCCGAACCAAGTCCATCCCTAGTCCCCTCACTCCATTAATCTCTAAGTCTCTCTCTAATCTTCTTCCTTCTTCCTTCTACCCTCTGCATTTGCTTCTCCATATTCTTATGACATCTTCGTCCCCTCTTTCTTCCGCTCCATAAAATAATTTAAATATATCTATATAACAATCTGCCCAACAGTTTGGGTCTAGATTACATGAGGAAAAGGCATCAACGATCGCATACCATGACGACTAGATCACAACCATGAGTGAAATTATGTAGTCTAGATTAAGAATTATTTGAAGATTGAGGTTATGCAAGTAACTAAGTAAGCCTTCAACAAAACAATGTTACAACAATTACTATCATTGTTGTGCATACAAACAACAAACCTAAAACCAGAATAAAGGATCTAAAACATTATTTTGTCTCACTTGTTTACCCACAGTTGTAAGGAGACCAAGATTTACAGTTTCATGATTAAAATTGCACAAGTAAACATTCAAAAAAAAAACACTGAAAATCAGTCAAATCCAAGTGCCTTTGAGATGTTATGTTTTGAGAACTTTAAAATTAGTGTGATGGTAGAGGACTGAGATAATAGATTCATAATTGGGTTCAAAAAAGTTACAAAAATATCCTCGAAACATTTCAATATTGTGAAGACATGAGGTTCCATCCTAAAAGGTCAAACTAATAGGAGGAGTAATCCAGATCGTGCCGTCATTCATTTTTTTCATCGATTCGTAAGTCATTTTTTTATAATCGTGTCAATTATTTTTCATAAGGGGACCCACATCATGGATCGATTTGCCTCTGATACCATGTTAAGACCCGGGTTTCATCCTAAAAGGTCAACCTGATAAGAAGAGTAATCCAAAGTCTTAAATAGTGTTTTATTATTTTATAGCTTTTCGGTGTGGGACAAATGCTTCAACACGCCCCCTCAGTCCGAACCGGGCTAGACAATGTCAAGGTGTATAAGTGGACCAAACAGACCATTAACAAGCCACCCTTAAGCATGGGTGCTAAACAAGCCGTCAAACCATAACCGGACTTGGGTCTGATACCATGTTAAAACTCGGAGTTCCATCCTAAAAGGTCAACCTGATAGAAGGAGTAATTCAGATCTTAATATATCACTTAATGTCTTCACAAGTATCCGGTGTGGGAAATCAACATATACCATTCTTATAGACAAAGACAGCCAGTTTCACAGAAGGAAATATGTCTTTAAGGGAACAAGTGACGAAATTTAAAAAAAACAAGAAACTTGCAAGCAGACAAGTAGTAATTAAATGCAGATAACCACATTTTAAATTTCTTTTAATTGTGAGTGCATTACTTTGCATCAAAAATAAACTTTATATTACTTTTGTAATAGCTTGAAATATGAACCTATTGCACGACTATTATTTAGACATACTTAAATAAAATATCACTTTTAAATAAACCACTATATTTTATATTTGTACATTACCCACCATTTTTGAAAATGTCATTTCATGCGTCTTGTGACACTGATAGCACATTATATTTTCCTTAAAATATTGGGTTGGTATGGTTGTTAGTTCCTTAGGAGATACCCAAGAGTTATATACTTATATGTACAGATTTAGGAAAAACTCATGTAATACTATACTCCCTCCGTATTGTTCTGTTTGCAACACTTTCCTTGTTAGGAAGTATTTTTGTTTGCTACACTTTCTCTATTTGGTAAGTTTCTCCGACAAAAATACTCAATTACCCTCAATTTTTCTACTTTTCATCTTCCCTTTCATACTTTTCCATCATCTCTCCTACTTTTTCTAAACTATTCACTACCCCAACTATCTTACCCTTAAACTTTGAGAAAAAGGTAATGTAGCAAACTAAAGAATACGGAGGGTGTATGAAGTATTGCTGTAGCATTTTCTATTGGCAATTCAGCATGCAAAATACAGCCAAAAAATCCTTAATGCTCACAGACCTGGTGTAGATGCTCCCTTTTATGTTAGCAATGGGCTGATACACATCCCCTGTAGGAATATCAGACCAATGAAAATGGATTCTTCCACCACCACCACCTCCCCCCATTGGACTGCCAGAACCACCAACACTTGACAAAATGGCTGACTCGATGAGATCAAGAGAATGCAAATATAATAGTATACTCCCACCAGATCCACCACCTGGTCCAACATTCAGGTCCTCTTTATTTGCAAACTCTCCAGCCAAACTCCCTCCGAATCCATCTCCATCAGATTTAACTGAGCCTTCGACATACAAACTTGACAAAGGATGCTCCAATGAACCAATGACTGAAACAGAAACAAAAGGAACATACATAAGAGTAAACAAATAAGGAATCACGACTTTCTATTAAATAAAGCAAATAATATCAAGAAAAAAACATCACAAGATGGTGTGCCTTATCCCAATCCATTGTTCACTTGTCCATATTGCCTTATATATGGACCAAAAGTTGTCCACTTTCCTACACTAAGCATCATAAGCATTCTGCTATCCTTTGTATCCATTTGTCTACATATTCTGGTTACAGGGAATAAGTGAAAATAAAAAGGAACATCAGGCCACTTGGGCGTGTCGTTCTGGTTTCTTTTGAAGTTTTTCCTTGTGAAAACTTTTTTGAAGGCTAATTTTTTCTTTTGAAAAGTTTATTCTTATAATATTCATGGAATAAATAAGTAAATAAGTAAATAAATAAGTAAGCAAGTAAGCAAAGTAAGCAAAGTAAGCAAGTAAGCAAATAAGCAAGTAAGCAAGCAAGCAAGCGAGTAAATAAATAAATAAATAAATATATATATATACACATAAATAAATAAATAAATAATAAAGTAAATAAATAAATAAATAAATAAATAAATAAATAAATAAATAAATAAATAAATAAATAAATAGGCATATGTTAAGGGCTTGAGGCTATGTTTGGCATTACAGGTAGAAGCTGGAGAGTAATGTACGGATTATAAGCTATAGTCTGCAACTGAATTAAAAAGTGCTGAATTTGAACTAACTGAATGGAGTAGATCTTTTTGGCAAAAACAGCTTAAAAGTGTCTAAAAATGTACGCAGTTTCAGCCTTAATTACCCCAGGTTCCCCCAGCCCCCTCCTCCTGACCCCCTAGTGTAAAAAAATGCAAAATTACATGCCAGAAACACCGGTTGGAGCAGGAGCAGACATATTTCAATTGTGAGGCAAAACGTGTGACCTACATGGCTACATATAGCAGGCCAGCTTGCATATAATGGAATACATCAACCTCTTCATTGGAAACATAGGACTCATATACTTCATGTGTGTGTATAGACCATAACCCTTGTCTATTTCTGAAGCAAGGAAATCTTACTGGAGAATAAGAAATTATACATACATATATGCACGCATACATATATATGTATATATCGGCCATCATTTGTGAGAGAAGAATAGTCTCATAGAAATTGGAGTGATGTCAACATTATTTTCTCAATTAGATACTATTGTCTGGAATTGAATTTCACAGTGCTGGTCTACTAACTGAATGGGATAGATCTGTTGGGCACATAGTTATCAAGGCGCATGGCGATAGCCATGGCTCAAAGACATTTTTCATGGCGCATGGCGATGGCGCATATACAAATGGCGCATATGGCACATATGGCGCTATGGCGATGACCACTTTTTCATGGCGATGGCGCATATGGCGCGTGCCATATCTCGCCATTGACTACTATGGTTGGGCAAAAACAGGTGATAGTGTCTGAAACTTAGCCATGAATTCACCAGTAGGAGCAGGAGCTGACATATTGCAATTGTGAGGTAAAACATCTGACTTACATATTGCAGGCCAGCTTGTGTGTAATGGAACACATCAACCTCTTCATTGGAAAGATAAAAGAATTCCATATACTTCGCCTGTATAAATAATAATCATTTCTAGACCATGATCCTTGTTGATTTCTCAACCAAGAAATCTTACCGCAGAATCATATTTTTTTCACCGCAGAATTATATATATACTGAAATGCCCAAGTCCAGCAGTTTGGACAGGAGCCGCCGTCCGAACGCCGCCGTTTGGGGCGGTTCCTGGTGGAATTTTTCGAACATATTCATCATCAAGTCTAGTTTATCCACAAAAAAGTTTCAGCTCAAAATTCAATCGGGAAGACAGTCAAATATTTTTTTGAAGTTAACTGCACCAAATTATACATAGAAAACGCAGTCAACTTCAAAAAATTATTTGACTGCCTTACCGATCGAATTTTGAGCTGAAATTTTTTGTGAATAAACTAGATTTGATGAGGAACATGCTCGAAAAGTTTTATCAAAACATTCCACCGGGAACCGCCCTAAGCAGCGGCGTTCGGAAAGCGGATCCTGTCCATCCTGCTGGACAGGATCATTCCTCTATATATACATATATGTGTGTGTGTATTACTCATCATTTATGAGAGAAGAATAATCTTAAAGGTACATGAAGAGTGAGTAAGGAAGAAAGAAAAGGTGGAGAAGTGAAGGAAAGAAGAGACAGAAAAAAGACTGGAGAAATTACAAAAATGTTGTCGCCGGCAAACTTGAAGGCAACGGACTACTGTTATCCACCATCACACCTTCGCAGAAGTAAATAACTGAGTCGATAATGCCGACGGAACAGAAATGCTACTTGTATACAACACTTCAATTCAGTTAAAAAATATTTTAGTTCAAGATCACTTCACCCTTTATCAGAACAAACTAATGATATTATAATTGATGAATTTGGATAATTTTCCCCCATTAACAACTCAAATGGCCTGCCAAACATAGCATAAGTAATTAAGTACTTATTAAAAAGTACTGTATTGGGTCATCCATGAACAATGATGTTGAATCAAATGTGTAAGAATTGGCATAATCATAAATGTTCAAGTAGAATTACCCATATTTTGTTCACCAGGGCACCAAATACACATAATCTATATGTCAAAATTTCAAAATCTCACTTGTGTTCGTTAAATTGTTCAGCATCCATTATATATCTCATTCCTTGCAATTTAATTTAAAAATTACAATCCCAGAACTATCTTCTGCACTGTAAGTTCAGTTTCACGTCACTAGCTAGCTTCTTAACATTGTTTAAAAGTAATATTTCAGAGAGCAGGTTTAGTATTTCAGAGTAGCATGCTTTATTTCATTCAGTCAACCCATCAGGACACAGTTTTAAGCTCACAAGTAGTAAAAGAAAGGAGCAAATTTGTGCCTCTACCACAATCGACAGACCACAATTACAAAAACTTAAAGACAGACCACAACACAATGTTGAACATCAAAGGGCTAAAAGTGCAACCTCCCTCCCCATGACACCCCACATCACCAAAAAGGAGGGAGGGTGGGGGAGTAAGAGGCAGGTAGTAATGTAGTATCAGAAGAATGGAAATGTTGAAATGAACTATACCCCCCCCCCCCCAAATGATCCACTTAAGATAAAATTACAATCACAGCTTCAGGATTCCCTAAATACAGCTATCTTGTACTAGACGATAAAATCTACTAGTACAAGTATGCTTCGTTCAGAACGGAATGCACAAATCTTAACTTATTATGAAACAAATGGCTCCAAGAAGAATTACTGAGACAAAAATGCGTTCATGTGGGTAAATAGGTTTATGTAAGTCATGAAATTAACATTAATCATACACCACATTGACTTTAATATCATGCCCAGAAATACTTCTTGTAGACAACAAATCTTTTGAGCGAGAAAAAGGGTATTATGCTAATAAAGTTCATATTAGTGATTAAAATTTAAAAGGTGAAGTCGCAGTGAAGTCATCCAGTTAAGCAATATCATGCTTACCCAAGATACCACCACCGATAGTTGACCCGGCTAAGCTCTCATTTCCACTTCCACTACCAAGTTCGCATGGCAAATAGGGGTTTCCATATGATATGCCTCCCTCTGCACAGCTGCCATTGGAGCATCTACTTCCACCTCTGCCACCATGACCAGCGCCACCAGATAGACCATTGCTAAGAACTTGCCCATGCCCCAAGCCACCAGCACAGCCTGTAGATTTGACCTATGAAACTGAGTACCAACTTTGTAACAGTTGCCTATACATTATAACCAAAAAACAAAAATGAAATTGGATTCAAATTCTATATTAACGAAACCGAAAACCAGACCCATTCCTGATGTGCTAATATTCCCATTAAGCTTCACAGAGACGGTTCTTGCTCTGTGAAAATGAACCACAGATCCTTCTATAAGTCCTTCAACAAGGATATCCTCAACCCGGCAGACCTAGGGTTATTATGGAACAACAAAAGCTAAATAGGCTCAGGTGAAGGAACACAGGACAAATATAGAGGCAGAATGAGAATAACATCAAACAGCAAATACCAACCTGCAAAGTGAAAGATAGTGAAGAATTGACATTGCAGTCTTCAGGAGGGTGAAGCAGTTCAATGGGGCAATCATCAGTACCACAGTTTAACTTTGGTGCCCTTTGAAGTCAAGGAAAAGATATGTTTTATCAAAAATGTGTAGAGCAAAATCAAGAAAAAGATATGTTTTATCAAAGGTTGCAGACTAAACAAATGAGGAAGTAATAAGAACTCACAAAGCATTAGTTGTGGCATTTCGTAAGGGGCCTCTCAATACTGATTCTGGTCCAACCTTCAAATTCAATGAGAGAGAGAGAAAGAGAGTTGGCGAAAAGATAAAAGTTGATAAACTTAATGTATAACCATTAATTAACTAATGCATATATGAAGGTGATAACTAAACCATTTAGCACTGAAGACTAAGGGATTTCAGATTCTACTCCACACGATTATGATGGTCTAACCTCATAAAATGATATGTGTGCTCTCACACTCAACAGAAAAGTGCGCCAAGAGTACATAAATCACAGAAAGATGGGATCTTTTGAACATTAAGGGGGAGAATTGACATAGCATTATATCTGCAGTTTCAACGATGCAGAAGATCTAAATACTGTCTAGAGGATTACTCATTACATGAATGCTATAAAACAATGACAAGACCAGTCGTTGAGCTTCAATACAATCCCCGGCTCCGGACAAATTCAGTAAACCTTGCCCATGAACACCAAGATTTGCATTAGAGTGTATTAAGGAAGATTCCTGTGCATGAATGGGTATAAGAGGTCACTAGCAGGTCCAAGAGCATAAGACAAAACAATGGCAAGGAAATCTGAGAAGACGTTAAATATACACCTTAAGAACAATCAGGTTGCTCGCCTCAAGCAATGATGTTTCAACATTGGCATCGCCACCACCATCAATAAGCATTTGTGAATTCCACATCAGGAACATCTTAACTGACATGCGCAAAGCTCCATAAACCTGGAAACAACAGATGAGGCAGATAAGCATAGAGCACTCAGGAGAGCAACTAAAATACGCCGATTGAGAGAACCAAAATCAAAGAACTTAGCAAGTAATGTGAGGAAAAGGAGATGGATCCCAATAAAGGTTGATGGAGATGCCAAGTCTCAATGAACATATTTTGAAGAGTGAATACGAGTGAAGTATAAAAGATGGTTCATGAAACAAGGAGGCTTCACAAACACCAACATCTGTATAAGATCTTCAGAGTGAAGGGCAAACAATTATGTGAAACCAAGACATATGCAAAAAAAGAAACAAGTGCAACAAATACATGGGAAGACAGGCTCAGGTGCTCAGCTACACAGAGGGGTATGCTGAGCAATACGGAATAAACTTATTGATATGGGTATTTACAAACTAAAAAAAAAATTGAAAATTAGATAAAAGAGGGAAAAGGTAGTTAATGCAAATGTTAGTTAATGCACATGTTGTTCGGTATTATGTCATAATAATTTAACAAGCATGTGAGGTTACCTTGATAACAGAATCACTCATCAACAACTCTTCTGCCAACAATTCAAATTCTGACATCGAATATTTTGCCAACCCAAAGCTCAATGATGCATAATACAAGAGGCTAATTTGGCCCTGAACCTATATGAGAAGAATTGTATATTAGAGGATTAGTCAAATGTATTATAGCATCGAAGACAATTGGTTGATGGTTAAAAGAGTAAAAATACATTAAAAAGTAATAGCATTACATAATGAGCTAATGTGCTCAAATTCTAATAATCTTGCATCTGTATATTTGAAAGTGGTTGTTACTTGTTACAAAAGTGCATCATCTTGTTTAATTGCAAGGGAGAATACATAATAACATACACTCTGACATCTAGTAGATAACATCTTAGTTCAACTTAGACACAACATTAAGACTCTGAAGCACACAGATCAAGTGCAATTTGTCTGCCCTAGTAGTAGTGTTTGTAAAAACAAGGATCTAATGACCAACCTGAACACGACTCCATAGCAAAGGAAGAGTAACCTTTGCATGGTTACCAAGATAAACATTAGTCAAAAGTGGCTGAGGAAAATCCATGAGAAGTGTGTCTGTATATGTCGATTTGTTGTGGTTGTTTACAGTGAGGGTGCGTGGAACATTGTCGTAAAAGGTTCCAGCAGCACCAGCATTTTCTGAGCAGCCACGGCTACTTCCCCCTGTTATCATGGACAGGAAGCTTGCATTGAATTGAATTGAATTGAATTGAATTGAATTGAATTGAATTGAATTGAATTGAATTGAATTGAATTGAATTGAATTGAATTGAATTGAATTGAATTGAATTGAATTGATTTGAATTGAATTGAATTGAATTGAATTGAATTGAATTGAATTGAATTGAATTGAATTGAATTGAATTAAATTGAATTGAGTTGAAGATTTGAAATAACTAATGTGCAGAAGAAAATATACAGAAAATTTATACAAAGAACTTTAAAGAGCAAGTTGCCCATAAACCCTAATCTATAAAGGTACTATAACCTGAGTAATCCCAGGATCAACCAACAACAACATCCAAGCCGTAGTCCCAAAAGAGTTTGGGGTCGGCAATCCAAGGATCAACCCCTTTAAGTAGAACATCATCTCTCACTTAATTACTTAGCCTTATCTTTTCGTATAACAAACATCACAATCTAAAAGTGTATCTTAACTCTTAAGCCTGAAAATGAAGTATAGAAGATTAGCAGCAACCTTGTTGCATATGCTCCCCATCGGCCCATCTTGCAAACAAATTTAAACCATGACTTGAGTTGCTTCATCCTTCTTTTTGAGCAATGCCTAGAGATTATATAGCTACAAACCATATAATAATTTGCACCTTCCTTAAGTAGATCCATTGTATATGTCACCATCTTGTCCTATTCATTCGAATTCAAATCTTATTTTAACATTTATGATTTGTCTCTTTGGGCAGTGATAGAACTAGGCAAATCCGACTCACAAAAGTAGAGAATTAGGAAGAATTGATCAAGAAACTGATCAAGAAATCTTATTTGATGTGAAAAGTAGTTTACAGAAGGGATACAGTAGCCACAGACAATTCGAGAAGCCCAGTCTCCAAATCTATTCCCAACTCAAAATAACTGCCTACCTTTTACTCCTCCCCTCCCCTTCTATTTATACTACTACATGTACACTTACTATTATTATTTTTTCTATTACTAGCCTACTAAGCCAGATTCCTATCAATACCCCCCCCCCTAATCAACCACCTCGTCCTCAAGGTGGGTGATAGGAAACAGACATGATCTTCCACTTCCACTTCATTCTTGCACCTCTCCCCTCCCAGTACTTAACTGATTGCTGGACTAGGAACTTCAATACCAAATCTTTTGATATCACAGACATTTCCCCAGCAGAAGAGATATCTAATGAAGGTTCATTCGCTTCAGTAACTTTCAAGCACTCAATCACAACACATGTTTCTGTACTAGATGCAAACTTCTCTTTGTACCTTTCAACTTCTTCGTCTTTCAATTCTTGGCCTACCTCATATGAAAAGGAAGGCACAAAAGGTTTTAGCAAGCAAGCAAGGAGATCCACTATACCAGCAGCAGTTCTCATAAGTATGGAACAGGAATTCCTATCTTCAATGTAAGACTTCCACAGTTGATTTTCTTGCAGAAATTCAACATACCATTCAACCCCTTCATCTTTCAGCGCTGCAGCAGTTCTCATAACTATAGAACATGAAGGCCTGTCTTCCATATAAAGCTTGCAAAATTGATCTGCTTGCATGTAATCATTTCCTTCTCCCGAAAGAGACATGGGAATTGTCAATCTTTGCTTCCATTTCACCATTTCCCTGACTTTATTATAATGTTCCACATAATTTCCAGCTTTTTCTTCCAAAGCAGTAATTAAGGATTGACTAAAATCCAAGGAAAAATGCTGAGACGTGCTGATTAGTGCGTACTTGGCACAAAGTACCAATTTGCAAACTTCAACATCAAGAACCAGAAGCTGGTAAATTTCAAAACCAGGTTTCAAGATATTCTCCCCCAGCTTTACTACAATTTCTGACACTTGTCGTAGATGGAAAATTGCTTTCATACCACTTGCACATTGCAAAATGGTACAGAAACTGTCAACAGTAATAACTTGACCCCTTACTATCATCCCCAGCTTGGCATCAGATTGAGTGAACACTGATTCTTCAATTGCAATATTCTGTGGATCATCCTGCACCCCTGACTTTGCCAAGGCCCCCAGGAATATTACAACGCTGTCAACCACCATAGCCTTATCCTGACTTTCAGCACCTCCTCCATCCCTCTTCTATTAGTAATTGTGTGAACCACGTTACCCCTTTCCCAATCTTCATCCCTTTTCCAAAGAATCTTGATCTTTGTACCAACAATTGTCATATGAGATTGGTTGTCAAAACCTACACCTCCATCTAGCATAAGAATACAAACTGGTGTCATTCCCCTAGCATTTTCAGCAACCGTTATGGCATCAATGGTGGTTTCCAAGCCAGCATAAACAGCTGCTGATTCCTTTTCTACATCAGTTTGCCATTCTGATAGTGGCCTACTGTCAACCAGCACCTTACAATCTTCAAAGTAGCGACCTAACTGTTGATTTGGAATTTTCAGAACCTCAACAGCTCTATCCCTAGAACCAATACATGTCTCGTGATCTGCATACTTCTTCCTAACGTTTTCATCTGCTATTTTCTCTATACAGGCAGTCCAGGCACCAAAATCCAGAGAAATGGTTCTCACAATGTTCCCTAATGGTTCCTCTTTCTGAGATATGGCAATATCATTTACTGACCGGTGCATTGTGGTGGCATCATGTACAATGTCTGATGATATTCCATTCTCTATGACTCTATGGAATACTGCATCCCTCTCTTTGCTATTAATTCCATTAATAGCAGCAGTATTTGAGGTAGCTTGATGCTCGTCTACTTGTACTGTGAAAGTAGTATTTGAATCATCAGCCGATTCATATTCAATGGCACTAGAGGCTTGAGTCACCACATAAGATTTCTCCTCTCGTCCTTCATCATCACCTATGAATGTATCCTCAGAAAGAGGTTTTCATGGATTGCAAGACTCCTGCGACTCGGACAGCAAGGGCAAACTGGAAGCTCCTCCTGATCACGTTGTACCTTGAAGTGAGCTGCTAGCGTATGCTGAAGTCTGTGAACCTGGAGACATGGCTTGCGGAGAAGATTGCAAAATGGAACTAATAGAAACTGTTTGTGAGGGCGATGACATCTGCGAACGGATGAGGGTGTCGACTTGCGATGACGAGCTGTAGGGAGAAACAGTAGTTCACGTAGAAGATTGCGTACTGAGAAAATTTCTTGGCAATCGCGACTCCTGGTTCTGTCTTCCAACTGCGTTGTTGGAAACGCCGATTTATGGCTTCCTTTAGAACCTCCCAATTCTTTTCTCTCGTTTGATTTTCCCACCACGGAAACCAGGCTAACGTCCTTTCCTCCATCACACCTTCTGCGACTTCCACTTTATCTTTTTCTGCAGTATCCTTGAGACGAAAATAATCTTCCATCCTAACAATCCAACTGTCCGCATCATCCCCGTTAAACAACGGTAATTCAACTTTTATTCCCGTACGAACAGGTCTTCTACTGTTATCGCGAACCACACTAGAACGGGAATGATCGGAATTTCTTGTGTCTCCGATATGCGAAGTGCGATGTGAGGTGCGTTGCGAGCTGTGCGGAGTGAGCGATTGATTCCTCGGTCGATTTTGGTTGCTGTTCATCTTCGCGAGTGTCTCCCGTACTGTCGCTAAAGTCATCACAACTTTTTCCATCGAGGTAGGATTCCGCTCTATGGTTTCCATCCTGTTCTCCATTTTTGGCTCTCGTCCAGACCTTCCACAACTGAAACGGAAATTATCTGGTATTGCGACACTATTCCGAGCACCAGAATCGGTTGCTCTGATACCAATGATAGAACTAGGCAAATCCGACTCACAAAAGTAGAGAATTAGGAAGAATTGATCAAGAAACTGATCAAGAAATCTTATTTGACGTGAAGAGTAGTTTACAGAAGGGATACAGTAGCCACAGACAATTCGAGATGCCCAGTCTCCAAATCTATTCCCAACTCAAAATAACTGCCTACCTTTTACTCCTCCCCTCCCCTTCTATTTATACTACTACATGTACACTTACTATTATTATTTTTTCTATTATTAGCCTACTAAGCCAGACTCCTATCAAGCAGTGCCTAGGATACTCATATTCATAGATCTTTAATGATTTCCAATTTCCATCATTGCTCAGGATAAACAAACTGAAAAAATATACAGAAACAGAGTATATAGCTGGTCAATACCATACACAAAGATTTTTGGATCTTCATGTCTGCTAAAAATGTCGACAGAAACTCTTCCACCACCTCCACCTGCAAAACCATCACCACCACAAGCACTTATTTCACCAGTTCCAGTCCTGCATATAACCAAAAAATTGACTTAAAATATATCACTCTTCATAGAAAAATAACTATTTCTTTTTAAAAGAACATTGGAGCTACAAAACAACACTCCTCAGTCCTCAAAACATATTCCAAATCTATTCGGTAGCAAAAGTTTAAAGAACCACTAAGGAAAAGTCTTTTACACGCCAGATTATCAGAACACTAACCCACATGCAGACAAAATAGGTGGGAAAGGAGGATTAAAGTCAGACATTGGTGTTCTACTCCCTCCATCCCTCTACCTTTATCTCATTTTACCTTTTTCTTTCATCACAATAAGTTTGTCCCAAACCATATTTGGTTTGTTACTATCGGTCCTTCCTTTATTCACACTATAAATTTTATATCAACCACACAATTTCACGTTTCTTTATAACAACACCACTCCCTTTTGTCCCAACGTTAGAGGGCGCTGGGCGGAGGTAGTATTAGTTTTCTATTAACCGGAAAGGCTCCCACATACGGTATGTTAAGGGGGGTCGGATGTACACAGTTTTACCCATTAACCCATGTACTAAAGTACAGAGAGACTGTTTCCGGATGAACCATGATGAAAATCGTGTCGAAACCAGCTCACCTCCGTGGGCTGGTTGTGTGCTGGGATTATAGTTTATTTATTATTATAAAGTTTATGTTATGTTTTCTAGTTTGGGCCGATTATTAGTAAAGTAGTTAGTAGAGTTAATTTAGGCTTAATTAGGGTTTAATTAATTTGGGCTCGATTAGGGTTTCTGTTGAGTCTCTTGCTAGAAGGCTACTTATACCCTTTGTTATGGTTCATTCTTGCTTATCTATGAATAAAATTGGAGTTTAGCTTGTTGGCTCTAGGCAACGGTTTCTACCGTTGATTATTCTGGGCAACCGTTTATACCGTTGATTTTTATTTTCCATTCTCATCAGACTGACTAATGTTTCATAACAAAGAAAGAAGCACAGACAGTTCAGTAAATCGTTTTCTATTAACCGGATGAAATACATAAATGTGTCACATAAAAACTAAAATCGCCTGAAGTTCTATAAAAAAACAAAAAAAGGGAAATGAAAATTTTAGCCACTAATCCACTATACGCATGAAGTATACATGAATCCACTAATCCACTGCCTATTTAATATATTATGTTTTATTTTTCAGCCCCTACAACATGAAGTATTCAACCAATACTGTCCATGCAAAGTGGGAAGTTGTTGATGGATACCAAGGTTGTGTCATCCACAACAACAACATCCAAGCCTTAGTTCCAAAAGATTTTGGGATCAACAAACATGAATGGATACATGATATCGGAGCCAAAAAGAAAAGAAAAATAAGAAAGATAAGAAAGATAAAAAAGATAAGGTAAGATAAAGATAAAGGTAAATATAAGATAAAAATAAAAATGATAAGATAAAAAAGGATAGAAAGAATATATAATATAAAAAGGGATAAAAGGATAAAAAACATAGGAAAGATAAAGAAGATAAAAGGATAAAGAGAGAAGAAAATTATTTGGACACATCCAAAGAACATAAAAATTCAAAACTGAAAAAAATGAAGAGAGAAGAAAACACATTTACAATATCCAATGATTATATATCACAATACGGATCACATCAAGCTCAGGGAATGAGTGGGCAATGGTCTATAAAGAAATGCAAAGTGGTGGTTTTGTTTGGAACTTGGGGGTCGACTAGAATGATGAGATCCGTGAAGAAGGTCGCATTCATCGAAATTACAGAGTTATGATCATGTTTCCTCTCTAAAATTACGGAGTTATGCTATAGTTTAGCTTATAGATGAGATCCGTGAAGAAGGTCGCATTCATCGAGATTATTTGGACACAAATGTAACAATTTATTTGCTTTTATTCATGTTTCCAAGTTTCTAACACACAGTATTAAGCCACATAGGTGGTAACTATATGTCTATACATATCAGGAGATAGTTTAAACAACTGAAGTAACTACCGTCTACCTAACCTACAAAAAAACAAATGGCATCTAGGAACATGTTTGTCTGCTGTTTAAGTCAAAGACAAACATGACTACTCTTCCCATATTAAGACAAATAATTATTGAACACACTGAGCCAACAATTGTAGGATAATTACTCATCCTAACCTCTTAGATGCTTTAGATAGAGAAACCTCTTGAAGTAATTCATAGAAACAGAAAGTCAACTCCTTTTACTAAATAAGAGTAGGAGCAGACTTTTATCATCGTGGATTGTATACAAAAAAGTAGAGGGTATCAAGCCTCCTCTACGAGTTAACCTTTTAATTAATACGAAAAATAAAATTGTATGCATATATCACATGAATGATAGATGATAAAAATGTAGAGGGGTGTCAACCTGTCAGAGGAAATTATACACCTCCATTTAAAAAATATTTTATTAATTCTTTTTCAAAACCAAACATAAATTACATTAATCGTATATGCTACATGCAGACGCATATAAATATGCCATAGGAATTAGCCTCCTCTATGAATTACACTTTATTCATTTACAAAAAGTATACATGAATCCCATTAACTAATCATAGATGGCAAAATGCTGAGGAACATTAAGCTGGCATGGGTAAAAAGCCTCTATGAAACTTTTTTATGAAGTCAAACAAAAATTAACTACATAAACCACCTTAATTAATCATATACGGTCAAATGCAGAGGTATATCAAGCTGCAATAGAGAACACCCTATGAAAACTTTTTCAGTTTTTATTAATTAAAAAAATAGAAACATAAAGCATTAAGAAAAGAGTCATACATCCTATAAGCAGTGATGTAGATGCTGCCACCTGACCCACCTCCACCTTTGGTACCTCCATCGCCACCATCTGCCAACAACTTGCCGTTCACTTCCAATAACCTATTCACCAGCAACATAATCCTTCCACCACCTCCTCCACCATAGTCCACCTCCCTACTGCTTGTTCCACCTTTACTTCCGTAACTAAATGGTAACTGCATTGTAGACCACCCATACGCATCCCCTCCCCAGACATCCTCCTGCAACTTCTTTGTGTCCGTCAAACAACACGCCCCTCTACCTCCATAACCCCCACCTCCTCCATCTAGGCCTTGAGGGGTCCCACTTGTCTGTTCCGGAGCAGGGCCTGCTAACCCAGTGGTGTTCACAGAAGACCCGTTTCCAAATGTAGCATTGTTAGCAACCAGCTGAAAAGTTCCTGCAAGTATAGTAGAATTTTCATCGAGCTTGAAGCTCCCAGTGACATTAATCCCGACTTCACAACCCGCAAATGTGCAATTAACAGTGACACCTGGGAGAATGTAAAGGTCGCCCTTCCCTTCTATATACACACTCTTGGTAATATTCAAATCAGACACTATTTTACACGTGGTGTCCAACGAACCAACACCCCCCAAATCAGCCTCGCAGGACACGGACGGTGGATGGGGAGGTGGAGGAGGTGGGGCAGGCGGAGAGTAGTCCTGGTGGAAGAGAGTCAAGTAGGAGTCGGGGTCCGAGTCGAATTCTTCAGCGGGGGCAGCATTGCGTAAGCCACTTTCACTGCTGCCGCCTCTAGGGTTTGCGGACAGAAAAACTAATAGAACAAAACTCAAATGAAGCATGTAGACGGCCATTGACGGTGGAGTGCAGTCATCACATCAGAGGACGGAGACGAGAAGAGACCGAGATTGACTGCATCAGTCAACGCTTTGATTCCGACAAACAGCCGCCACGCCACCTCTATGAAAACTTCCCGAGCAAGCTTAGTCTCTAGGTGGTTGTACAGACGGTTTAGGGGAGAGAACTGTAGATGTTCTCGGAGAAGAATCTACCGGAGATTGCAGAGAGATGGAGAAAGACAGGAGTTAAGATGGAGCGTCGGATTAAGAACGCACAAACAAATGGACTTCCTTTTTTCAATTTTTATGTGATCAAAAAATTAATAAACAAAATGGTAAAGGTGGCGTTATTACTTAAGGGGTAAGCTTTTTTTCTTTTTATTTTTTGAACGGCTCAAGGGGTAAGCTTTAGTTAGATAAAATAATAAGGAGTAAAGGAAAAAGGGGTCGATAAGCCTACGTACTAACCAAAAAGAGTCAAATAAGTTGTTATATGGGAGATTATGTCCGTCTGTCGTCATTTGGGTCAGTTCCTCGTGGATTTTTTTGATGAAATTTTTTGAGAATCTTATTCATTAATTCTAATTTACGCATACGAAATTTCAGCTAACAATTCAAGTGGGAAGGCATTCAAATAAATTCTTGAAGATAACTGCGCAGTTATCTTCAAGAATTCATTTGAATGCCTTCCCGATTGAAGTTTTAGCTGAAAGCTGGTATGAGTAAACTAGACTTGATGAATAATATGCTCTAAAAATTGCATCAAAAATTTCCATCGGGAACCGCCTCAAATGACGACGGCGGACATAGCCTACTATATAAGGGTTTATTTGACTTTTTTTTGTTAGTACGTCGGCTTATTTGCCTCTTTTCTCAATAATAAAATATAAGAATTTTATCAATAACGATTAAGCTTCCATGATTTTTATATTTTTGTACTTTAAAGAATTTAAATATTATTTAATATTATTGAATTATCAACTTTTTGTGAAGAAAAATATCATCAAAAATTAACAATGAAATTGATAAAAAATAAATAAATCAAAATGTATAATATTTTAGATTTTAGATTGATAGTTTTATATCTCTTATTGATAGTTAACATGTCTTTCAGGTCAAGAATTAAAATCCTAAAGATGTACTATTGTCTTGTGCTCCCTTTTTTACTCCTCACTTAGGTTTCCTATGAAAATTAAGAAATGTAGTAGATTTGTACGGGTAGGTATTACTTAAACTTAAAAGGTATAAAAGAAGGTGAGAAAAAGAAGCAAATAATGAGAAGAATTAGTAAAATGCTAGATGAGAGAAAAGAAAAGGTGAAAGGGGTAGAAAAGACATGAAAGTAAGGTAAAAGTTCTCAATTATGAAAACTTGTGAAAAGAGGACAACCAAGAAAACAACTTTCCAAAGGCAACAAGTGGCAAGTAAAAATGAAAGAATAATAACATAAATGATACAACTAGCTTTCCATTAGACAAATATGACTTACTTTGTATTTTGTATTTGAACAAAAAAAGACGAATTATATATGAACTTACACAAATACCCATCGTATAAATACAATATTAACCTCTAATATCCTCATTTCTTCTCTCATTCCATTCGGATCCGGTGTCGCCGCCTATTCGTCATGACCGCCTCGCAGTCGTTGTCACAAATGTCAGCAGGTTGCATGTCATCACCGCGGCCACAGTCATAGCTTGGCCTTCTCATCACGGCCACTTCGTCTCTCTAGCTTCTAAGATCTGTTAATGCCCTCGTCGTCGCTTCCAAAGGTCGCCTTTCTAAGCGCCATCACAACCAAAGTTCCATGTCACCATCGCAGCCACAACTCTCCACTACCATTACAGCTACAACTCGTCTTTCTGCCTCCGTCGCAACCACTTCATCTCCTTAGCTTCTCCAAATCTGGAGGTGAACACAAAATCAACATCATTGTCATCATAGCCTTCACTAATGGTGGTTAGCGATTATGGTTTGAGGGGTTGTGGTGACAAGTAGGGATTCATGTGGCTAGTTTTGAAGCTGTGGTGACAAGGTTTGTAGAGTGGGATGCAGTAGATGCAGGGGTTGGGCAGTGGTGTGGGGGGTTGAGTCGGGGGATAGAGTGTGAGGGTACATGGGGTCGTGGATGTGCAGGGGCTGACGCACTGGAAGGTCACTTGTGCGTCGATGGACTGGGGAGGGTCACTGCAGTAGGCTGGGAAAGGTCATTATAGGGGCAACATATTGGGAGGGTCACAAACCAGTCTTATGTAAGCAATGGTTTTCGAATGTGTTCGGTCTGCTATGTCTTTGACTTCATCTTTCTTCTATCAGTCTCGGCCTTTCCAGTTTAGCCTCAACCTCGTTTGATCCATATGTCATCAAATAAAGATGACAAGAGGATGTTGTGAGTAGCCTATCATTATATATAGTCTAAATCATCAAATAAAGATGACTAAGGTATATATGGTCGCCGAGCTAGTAGGAACTCCAAGTCATCAAGTAAGATGACTAAGAGAGGCGGGCGAGGGGCTAGTATGAACTCTAAGTCATCAAATTAAGATGCCTATGAGGAATGGTTATGGGGCCAATATCAACTGTGAGTCGTTAAATAAAGATGCATGCGCGATATAGTTCAGGGGCTGGTATGAACTTCAAGTCATTCAGATATTGAGATCAAGATGATGGTGATGGCAGCCAGTTTTGAAACAAGGACGATGGTCACCATCCTGGAAGGGAATGGGCAAGCTGAGACCGTAAGAGGAAGACAACAACAGTGACTGGCCGGTCATAGTGCGTCTTTTGACACTAGTGAAGATGATGGCGCTGAGGGGATTTGCACTAAAGACGATTGACGCCATCATATAATGTGTAAGGAATAATTGCAATTAGATTTTGATGATGCTATATTAATTAGGATTTTAGAGTACCCCTCTTTAGAAAATTGTATTAGAATTTTCCTTGTGTAAAGCATTCTTAGAATAGTCGACTAATAGAAAACCTCCTGACAGAAGACCTTTTGTGTATCTGTTAGACTTTGTCTACACAGAAGACCTCCAGGCTCTCTATTAGCCCTTATCCGAACAGAAGCCTTTTTGGTTCTCTGTTGATCTATTTCAGGACAGAAGACCTTTGGTTCTCTGCTAGACTTTGTCAAGAGCAGAAGTACTCGTGGCATTCTGTCATCTTGACAGAAGTGCTCAGGGTCCCCCTTTACAGAATCCCATCTCAAACATTCAAGAAGGCCTCACACTTGGAGAATTTCCTGAAATCTATCTAAGCCGGTGAAATCAACGTAAGATTCCTTCAACGGCTAGAAGACCTCAACGGAAAAGCTACAGTACGCTCATCTAGTGATCATTTAATGAGCCTCGTACGCTGTAGAGTAAAAGCAGATGATTGGCCGACATTTCATGATAACTTTATCCCAAAATAGCAACTCGCCAACTTTCATGGGTCCTACCGGTTAACTCAACTGTACGCGCATTTAATGTGGTTGTCTTCCTCCTCCAACGGGAACATAACCTTAGTATATATGATACTACACGAAGAACATCCGGATAACTTTGCTCAAACTTTCACTCCAACAACAAACATTCAAACTCACAAGCTTTCTTGAGACTTCAAACTTCATCTTCTCAAACAAGAAAAGCTTATGTTGGAAAGATATTACTTCTATATCCTTTCTTCCAACAAAGAGCAATATTCCTAAGTTCTTCAACAACTTCAAACTCTTCATCTGCACATCCTTTGTGACGAAGCAAGTTGGAGAAACTCATGTTCTTACAAGGAACTCTTCTCTAACGAGAAGGACGTCTAAGTAACTGGAGTAGTGAAGTGGGCATACTTCAAGGAAGCTCAGTGAAAGGACCAGTCTTGAAGGAAGCCAGGAAGTGCATCCCAGGAGACATCTAGACTTCAAGAAGGCGTGGAGAGATTCTTAAGTGCTAGGGCTAAGGCTTTGTAATCTGCGTTTTTACAAGCTTAGTGGAACAGTGAATTAGAGGAACACGTTGTTCCTTGAACCACTATAAAAATCTCTGGTGTCATTTACTTACTGCATTTATTTCTCGCATTTTCTCTAAACTGATTAACTCCAAAGACTTGGTCTATGTGTTCAGCACAACGTGTCTTGTGAGTTAACAGAAGGCCTATTGCTTTTGCATCTCTTAGAGGCTGACCGGACAGAACCCCTACCAGAATACCATCCGCTGCAAGTCTGTTCTGCCAACAAAACAGGCTATTCTGTGAAAACAGTTTCTTAAGTTGAAAAAGTTAAAAGCCAATACAGTCTATTCACCCCCCTCTAGACTGTATCCAGTATAATCGGGACCAACAAATGGTATCAGAGCCTCCTTGTTCTTGTAATCTTTTAGGTTACTTGCTGAACAAAGATCCACTTGTTTTTCTGCCTATGTTTTAATCTTTTATAATGGATCACTCTCTTTCCAAGAATCTTGTGTTTTCAGATCTTAAGTTTGATGACTGGAGGATCCGGATGAAGGCACATCTTTGTGCTCTTCATAATGAAATGTGGGAAGTACTTGACTTAGGGCCATTCACCAACTTCCAAAAGGTGAATCATGAGCATGCCATCGACAACACAAGGCCACAGATGATCAACAAAGCCAAATCTGAGTGGACCACTGAAGAGAGTAGAAAATACAATCTGGACAACATTGCAAAGGACATCCTCTACAAGTCCATTGATGATGGATACTTCAACAGAATCAAGAAGTGCAAAACTGCCAAAGAAATCTGGGATACTCTTGAGCTCATTGGAGCAGGTGATGAGCAAGAGAAAGACAACAAGCTGACAATAGCCAACCAGAAGTTTGATGACTTCAAACTTCTTCGTGACGAAAGCATCTCCAAGATGTATGATAGACTCCTCACTCTCACTGGAGAGATCTCTGAACTTGGTAAGGAACTCACCACCAAGGAGATCAACCTCAAAGTGTTGAGAGGTCTACCCTCAACATGGAAGATGAAGGTGGTTGCAGTTCAAGCAAGCAAGGATGTGAAGACATATCCTACAAACAAGCTCATCTCAGACATACAAGACAGTTTTCAGTCCGAGATCATACAAGACTAGACCGAATCAGACTTAAACAAACCAAACCAAATCAGATCAGACATCGAAGTTATAATAAAATATACAGAGATCAGACACTTACTAGGCTAGACTTAAACAGACCAGACCAGGAAATTTCAGTTCAATTACAAAAATCTTTAATTTAATTTTGAATTAGTGCTAAGTTGTGACTATCTTTTAGATTTAAGTGTGTTTTTGTATATAATATGTATTTTAGATCATTGATGCCGTCATTTATTGATTTAAGAACTCTACTTATTGATGGAAAATTTAGTTAGAACATTTAGAAGTTTGGTAAATAGTCAGTTTTACCACAAATCGAACCAAAAAAACGGTTCTCAATGCAATTCGATTCAACTTTGGTTTTTCCCATCTTAGAGCCCGTTTGGTAACATTAAAATTGGCTGAATTGGTTGATTATGCTGAAATTTATGAAGTTCTGTCTGAAGTGGCTGTATTGGCTGATTCTGCTGAATCATGAAAAAATTATATTTAAAATATTTGTTATTAATAAATAAAATAAAAAATTATATGAAAAATAGCTAAAATGGTCATCTACAGTAACTTTAGCCAATACACCCAGAAAAGTAACTTCAACCTTACTTTTTCTGCTTATTACACAATTCAATGCGCGAAATCAAAAGTTACGTATTTGGTGAAAAAGATGACAGATAAGCCTGATAAGCCGAAAAAGGAGTCACCAAACGGGCTCTTAGTTTGAGTCCCGAACCAAACCCGACCCTATTCATTGTGTGACACTAGGGGTGGACTCGGGTCCGGGCCGGGTCCGGGTCAGGCCTAGGCCCGGGCGGGCCGGCGGTTCAAGAATGGTGGACCCGGGACCGGCCCGGGTAGCCACCGGGTCCGGTCCGGGACTCCGGTTTGGATTTTTTTTTTTTTTGCTTCCTAACCCCCCCCCTCACCCCCACCCTCCCAAACCCCCCCAAACCCATCCTACCCATCAAGCCCAACCCGGGTGGAACCCCAAAAATGAAAAAAAAAAAAAAAAAAATCAATTTGGCCCGGGCCCGACCCGGCCGGGCCGGTTCACCAAAATTGAGACCCGAGCCCGGACCCGCCCTACCCCCCGGGCCTAGGCCCGACCCGGACCCGGACCCGGACCCGAGAACCGGGCCGGTCCCAGTCCCGCACAGTAGCGGGCCGGGCCGGGTGGCCCGACCCGAGTCCAAGCCTATGTGACACCTATATGTTGTTTAGTTTCGACTTAAGGAGAACAATAACTCAATCATTCAGCCATTAAATTCTGTTTATTTACGACTTAATTAGTTAATTGAAAGCACAACTTAATCATCAAGTAAAAAAAAACTGGCTTAATTATGAGGTTGGAAAATAATAATCCCTTCCATTGGCCATTGAGACGTCTATTAACACGTTGTTTCCGTCCATTTTTAACAACGATTATGGAATAGATTTATGTTAATAAACTGAATTTCTCTTTGACATTATAACCCAATATTAATACTAAATTAATTACTCTACTCAATTCAGAATGTTTGTTCAGCAGACAAAATAAACAATCTCATATACAAAAACCACATAAACCCAAACAACATCTTAATCAAATAGAACTTAGAAAAAATTGAAAATAATAATCCCAACTAATGTTGGTCCGCTAGTAATAATTTCAACTATCGATTATTTCTGGATGGTCCCAACTATAGGGACCATTTTTCAAAAATAGTCTCTGATCTGCTACAACCTGGTATAGCATGTCAAATTTAAATGTGAACTATTAGTAAGCTATAAATAATCTCAACTATCAATCTCAACTATAAGTCTATCCTCATTTATTAATCCCAATCATCAACTCTCAATTTTAAAAAAAATATAAAAATATTTTCATAAATTGCCAAACTAAATATTTTTAAACATGTAAAAATAATTATGAAAATTCTACAAATGTACCGAAGTTTAATAAAAATATTTTAGTCTTTTTTATTTATTTTCAATAAATTTTCATTTTTACTTTTTTCCGATTTATTTTTTCCTAGTTATGATTTTGTATTATTTTCCTTTATTCAATTTTACATCTTGTGTTTTCAAAAAGTACATTGTGATTAAAAACATTTACGATTTAAATCTTTATTCTAGATTTTTCATAAAAATCTATTTTTAAAATTTTTATGCTATCTTAATGGTAAAAACCAAAATTCTCTATTTTTAAGTTTAAGTATTTTTTATTTCTTTCTATTTTCTTTATTTTATGTTATTATATTCTATAAATTATATGATATAGTTTATCATTAAATTCTAGTGATTTGGGACATATGATTCGAAGGTTTTGGCTATGTTAATGAAAATGTATTAATATTTTAATTTTAAGTGATACATTTTTTTACATATTTACAATTTTCATTATATCATTTAAAATTACAATATTAATTAATATATTTTCATTCAAAATAGCCATAACATCCAAAACCTATGCACCAAATCACTAAAATTGAACAATAAACTATATCTTATAATTTATAGAATATAATAATATAAAATATAGCAAATAGAAAAGAAATTACAAATACTAAAATGGATAAAATAGAGTTTAGATTTTTAGAATTAACACAGCATAAAAATTAAATAAAATATATTTTCATGAAAAAAACTAGAATAAAGCTTTTAATCACAACAAATTTAGTCACATCTTACTTTTTGAAAACAGAAAATGTAAAATTGAATAACGGAAAATAATACCAAATCATAACTTGTTAACACAACTGGGAATAATAAATTGGAAAAAAGAAAAAAAGAACTTTTAGTGAAAATAAATGAAAAATGACTAAAACTACTTTATTTAACTTCGGTACATTTGTAGAATTTTCATAATAACTTTTACATTTTAAAAATATTTAATTTGAAAATTTTTAAAAATATTTTTATATTTTTCCAAAATTGAGAGTTGATAATTGAGATTTATAAAAGAAGATCAACTATAGTTGAAATTATTTATAGTTTATGCATAGTTCACATTTAAATTTGACCTGATATACCAGATTGTAGCAGGTTAGGGACTATTTTTGGAATAGTCTATAGTTGAGATTATTTATAGCGGACTGATAATTGTTGAGATTATTATTTTCAATTTTTCCTAGAAGTTGATAGAAAAAAATAAACAGCCCTTGATTTTAATTACAAACATAAGAAAAAAAGGAGAGAATAAATACACAGCATAATTTCCTCTAATACCGAGGAGGAATTTAGCAGAGCCTCACCCAAGAATTCCTACGGGAGGCTGCCCATTATTCTAATTTAAGTAGTACTGTGTACTATTTTCATATATACAGTATAAACACACATACTCTCAAAGTGAAGATCAATTTTACAACTTACAAAGTCGGTCAACTACCTCACAGACTCACAGTGGCGTCACCTTGCCATTATCCACTACATTCAATACCTCGCTTCACACTTTTTCAGCTTCTTTAAAGTTTTCGGCTTCTTTAGGACACGAGAAGCTTGGCTGGTTCGTTGAAGAAAGGAGACGCGCCCACATCCGGTCTGTAATCACGACATTGTTTTGCCTCTCTATAATGCGCTGCAATGCAATGTGTGAACCGAAATTACAATAACTGAGACTTGGTTGGTTTTCTGATGTTGTGCATCACATGCCTATGTAAACTATCTCACTCACATTGGAAATTTACCACTCTCATCACACGCACATATAAAGAGGACTTCCTAACCTTTGCATAGGTATGAGAGTTGAGACTCCTAGTCCAACTCTTGGACATTTTACAATATAAAACCACTGTACAAAAATTACTAATAGTCCCTAATATATATCTTGCCTGGGCATTCTAATGTTCTTCTTCACCCATATTGATTAATCATAAACTGCCCAAACATCAAACCACACACAAGATTGATCAATTACCCATATAATACTTTGTAATACCATTTGTCCAGTTTCCAAACAACCCCAAAGATGAAAGCTTTTCGGTTGTTGGTAGTTGTTATTACCCCCCCCCCCCCCCCCCCCCCCCCAACAAACAAAGGAAAAAGGTCATTTCCCTTGATGATATTTCAGCACTACAAACAAGGCCTTTTTGGCAGGGATATGGAAATAGAAACAGAAAGGGAGGGTGAGTAGCATAGTGTAATCTGAATGAAACTCACATTGAATGGGATGTAAGTGTGGCGACCATTGACGAGGCCACAAGTGAAGCCTGTAAACCCAGCCATGGCTCCATGAACAGTACTTTGAGCAAGTAATGTGCTGTACACGTTGTCTGATGCATTACTTGGGATGGCTCGGATCATATATGTTGGATCTGCAAGATATGATCCATATTTATTTATTTAGCTCATAAAAGAGTTCATTACAAAGAGCAAAGCTGAACAAAAAAGAAAAGGTTTAATTGTATTATATCCAACCTATGTATTTAAGAGTAATTGGAAATTTTCGCTCTTTAGAGTAATTCTGCAAGAAGCAAATAACATGTAACAAATTAATATATGATGCTAGTTAGCCTAGTTTATTTATTTACCAGGTAATAAATAATCAAATACGTACACAAATAATTCCAGCAAAGAGACCAATTCATATTCATTTGGCATATTATTGGTCCACAGTTACAATGGAAATGACTTAGATAATTCAATCAAAATGATGTTCGAATACTAATGAACATCATCCTCTCAGCTTAATTCCAACTTTATTGGGGTCAGTGCCTTGAAATCTGTATTGTCAATTAAAGTAGCTAACACTATAAAATTATATAATCTCATCATTACCCCAGTGCCACAAAGGCTCCCACCTACGGTGGGGTAAGGGGGTCAGATTTACGCAGTCTTACCCCTATACTAAAGCACAAAGAGGCTGTTTCCGGATGAGCCATGGTGAAAATGGCGTCGAAAATTGCATGGCATAAATTTACGACACTGCACTTCCTGCCGAAGCCTCATTATAGAAGAATAACAAGATGAAAATTCCAAAAATGTCAGTCATTACAAAATAGGTTTCTATCCATTACATGGAAAATGGCATTTACCACAATAGGTTGAGATAGTCATGAAAAGATCATGCTTAAATGCTAATAAACGCGAACACAAAATAAATAGAAGAAATGAAGGGTTTACATCTAGGGTGGTGGCGGCCAGACAGTCCAATGAGATCCAGATCAACAAATTAAGAAGAAGAGAATATGTGGTATCATCCAATCAATACCTTGATTTTCTGAGAAAGCCACATGCCAACATCTTGGAGAAGCTTATTTCCAGAAGCATCTTTTTCAGACTTAGTGGTTGAAGTCTCAGCAGTGAGAAGTTCCTGTCCAGCCCCTTCAGCTATCACAATAACCATATGCCCATTTTCTTTGAGCCTTTTTTCAATGTACTCAAGAAGGCCACCCTGTCCTTCAAGATAGAAGGGTGACTCTGGAATCAAACAGCAATCAACATCTCTGCTTGCCAAAGTTGCATACATTGCAATGAACCCTGGAGTCAAATCAGTCAAGTAAAAACAGATTTTATTTTATTTTTCCAGAAAACAATGTAGTAGTGGTTGAAAGTCAAGTAATATAAGAGTAATGGAAGAATGTAAAGAATCTAAAGATGTTTTCTTTTGGACTGAAATTTGCTGGTGTGGTCTAATCTGAACTTGTTTGGTAAATGTCCGGTCGTTGTGTATTTTAAAACCGCCTAAATCTGGTCTGGTATGTTTGAGTCCGGTATGGTCTAACCTGGTCTGCTCTGGGACTGAAAACAGTCCAAATGAAAACATCCTAATTTACCACGGTATCTTGGCACATATGCTCTATTGAAATATCCCAAAGAGAAAAGGATGTAAAAACAAACGTGTTTCTCAAAACAGTAAATTCAAGAAAAAAAGATGAGCAGTTGAAAACACTTAAAGTGAGAACCATACCACTATAGCGACCCATTAGCTTCACCAAACCAATGCCATTCTCTGCACTTTCAGCTTCCACGTGAGCTGCATTGATGGCACGTTGAGCCTCCTCTACAGCAGTGTCAAAACCAAACGACTTGTCAATTACCTGACAACACAGAGAGCGGTATAATAATAAGGTTTCCATGGGGAAACAGTTGACAAATGTACTTTTCACTTTTCAGCCAATAGAAATGCCTCAATTATTCCACTCCCCTGGAAACACTAACAAACCCCCATTTCCCTTTTAGTCCTTTTACCTCAAAATAATGGGTCTTAGATAGATTTTACGTAGTAGTAGTGAAAAGGGGGTGACAGAGTGTAAGAATTACTTCTGAAATAAGAGCCAATTCAAACGCAACCCAAGTATGCAACACCCCCCATAACATGACAGAAAGCAGTGTGAGTGGGTCAGAGGGAGGTGAAGTACTAATTAAGTCCACTTTCTGCTATGCACACACACATTATCATTTTGCAGTTAGTATTTCAGTCCCATCTGATGTGCAGTATATGAGAATTACGCCAAGCTAAATAGACAAGTAGTATGTAAGAATATGTAATTTGATTGTCATAAAATAAGATAGGCCACTTGGGATAGCCCAAGAGTTTGGGTGTTCGAACTAATAAATCTGAGGTATAAGATTCAGATCCCATTGAAACCCAAAACAGAGAAGATAGAAATGACTACAGAGAGAGTTTACCCATCTTAGGAATGGGATTATGTCATACATGATAAATTGTGAATGCATAAAAAATCTTTTCCGGTTATCTGTCAATGAATGAGAAATACCGGAATATCATTATCAATTGTCTTGGGGATCCCAGCAACAGAAACTTTGAGACCACGCCGCGTTACTTCCTGCAGCATAGAAAAATGGCTATTCTAGTAATCAGCCCGGCCCTTCAGGAGCGCAAGTAGAGCTCTTGAACAGGTCCCACAAATTAATTAGGGCCACATTTTTTAACCAAAGAAAAAAGTCAAATTGAATATGTTGATCATTTTCATTTTCATTTACCCCAGTGCCGCAAAGGCTCCCACCTACAGTGGGGTAGGGGGGGGGGGGGGTCGGATGTACGCAGTCTTACCCTTGTACTAAAGTCTTACCCCTGTACTAAAGCAGAGAGAGACTAAAGCGACTAAAGCACACATAGACTGTTTCCGGATGACCCATAGTGAAAATCGCGTCCAAAATTGCATTGACTGACTGTTGCTCCATAACAAAGAAGCGCAAACAGTTTAGCGAGTCATTTTGCTTTATTCCATCAAATTGAATATGTTGATGATTCAATAAATTTCTCTTTATAGAAACTGAGAGTAAACTGTTAGATAAAATAGAATATGAAGATATCATTAGAGATTTCGTTTCAAAAATTGCTAGATGACTTTGTTTGAGTAGAAGTGTATTTTTTGTTCAAATTATTGTACAGAGTAGTAATACTTTGGTTTATTTTTCATATAAATAAAACTATAAATTTGTTTTATTATTAAATACGAGTTTACTTTTTGTTAATAATAAATTATTGGTTTATACTTTGGATTTTACTAAACTAATGATGGATTTTACTTTTCCATCATTTGCAATGGAGCCAAAGATTCATTATTTTTTGGTTTGAGATTATGATGGAATAAAACAAAATGGCTCACTAAACTGTCTGCGCTTCTTTGTTATGGAGCACCAGTCAATCCATGCAATTTTGGACGCGATTTTCACTATGGATCATCCGGAAACAGTCTCTTTGTGCTTTAGTACAGGGGTAAGACTGCGTACATCCGACCCCCCTTATCACACCGTAGGTGGGAGCCCTTGTGGCACCGGGGTAAATGAAAATAAAAATGAAAATGATACTTTGGATTTTACTGTTTAATTCTTGAACAGGGCCTCTAAAAAACTTCACGTGGTCGGGGGGCAGTTTCATAATGAAAGAAACATATAAACTTCACATGGCAACAAGGGCTTAATACAGATTATTTGTTCAGAAACATATTTTCAAGGTAGTGTCAAATACCTTCATGAGGAAGTGGTTGATACATTTGGACAATCAGAACTTTAGGTGAAAATACATAATTCCTTAAAATGGTTGAATAGCTAAATCCGAAACTTGCTCTATGAAGATATACATATATCAATAAGATAATCACTTTACGGACAATCGGACAGTAGAGACTAGAGAGTAGAAACATCAAGTCTACGTTTGGAATTCAAAAAATGCTAGGGAAAGGGGAGAACGGGAAATGCTAAACAAATATTTGGTTTACCTTGAAAAAGGAAGATAATCAAATTTGATTAGAACATTATTAAAATCGTACATATATTTAGAATTTTGTCTATATAATAATCCCTTCATCCCATAACCGTATCCCATTTTCCTATTTACGATGTCCTAAATTTCTCCCCCGGTTCCCTTTTACGGAAAGAATGTGTGATTAATATTCTTTCTTTCCTTTCTAAATAACCCCAACCACAAAATTTCATGTTCTAAATAAGTCCCACGCCAAAGCAAGAGTATAAGAAATACTCCCTCCGTCCCTTAAAACTTTGCTACCTTCGAAATTTTGACCAGCTATATATTTTTATTAGATATTATTTAGAATATAAAAATGATATGGAAACGTTCTTTGTTAAAAGTACTTTCATAAAAGTATGAATTTATAGCTTGCATAATAATATTACACTAATCAAAATCATGGTCCAAAGTTTACGAGATGACAAAGTTAAGGGATGGAGGTAGCATATACATAAAAAAGAAATTGAACAGGTGCCTAAAATCAGGGTACTTCTATGATTTTGAAATATTAATATCATACGGAGTATTAAAAATTTAAAATAAGTGCCCTCATATCACTCTACAAACCTATTTCATGACTAATAAAAAATTTAAGTAGTATTGGAAATAACAATACCTAATTAATATCCTTAATAGACTAACATTTAATTTTGTATTTACTTAATTGATTGGAATCTTTTTCGGCTATGAACAAAGTCAAGACTACCCTAACATGATACCATGTGAATTTATCATAAATTGTTGCTTAGTGTATATTAAAAAGCAAGTCGTATTTTAGTTTTGTTAGATTCTACAATTCTATTGTAGATGATTTCCCTAACATGCAGCCATGCAGGAAAAATGTTTTAAATTTTAATTGACCTAGTGATTTTTTGTAATACTTGAGATTTAATTTAAACGGATTAATAGTACTACTCATACCAACGGAGGTGCATCTCCTTTTAAGGGAGCTCCTCAACTAAGAACTCCAAAGTTAAGCGTGCTTGCACGGGAGTAGTCTTAGGATGGGTGACTCCCGGGAAAGTTTCTCAGGACGCGCACGAGTGAGGACAAAGTGCGCGCTAAAGACTCGTATTAGTTTGTGAGGACAATACTAGAGGTCTGAAATAACTACCTCGAGTCCTGTTGGGCCGAGGTGTTACAAGTGGTATCAGAGCAACCCTCCGACAGTGTGCTGACTCGTTAGATAACGGGCAGGCACTTAGCGGGGGAGCATTCTGGGATTTGATTGAAATTTGAGATTGGTTTATGGCGCAACGAGGACGTTACGTTCCTAAGTGGGGGTGATCGTAATATTTGAGATTTAATTTAAACGGATTAATAGTACTACTCATACCAATAGAGGTGCATCTCCTTTTAAGAGAGCTCATCAACTAAGAATTCCAAAGTCAAGCGTGATTGCACGGGAGTAGTCTTAGGATGGGTGACCCCCTAGAAAGTTTCTCAAGGCGCGCACGAGTGAGGACAAAGTGCGCGATAAAGACTCGTGGTGGTTTGTGAGGACAGTACTAGAGGTCTGGAGTAACTACCTCGAGTCCTGTTGGGCCGGGGTGTTACATTTTTAGTATACTTTTGAAAAATTTAAGTGAATATTAGTACATCATTTGGATGTCATTATAATATCTTTCAATTTTATATTTTATTATTTGTACTTTATTCTGGCCCCCTCTCCATCAAACTCTGATAAGAACTCCAAATATCCAGAAATTACAGAAATTAATATCAATGAACAAGGTAATCTTTATTGAAGAAGATGAACAGTAATTTGTACAAAGGCCAAAGCCCCCCAAAGCCGAAGCCCCAAAAGATAGAGATGTTCAGTCTCGTATTCTTCCCAGTCCCAAGACCAAATGTCTAAAAGCCTATTTTTCTTCTCTCAGCTTATTCTATTTATACTAATCTAGTACACTTATTATTATTCTTGGTCTATTAGGCCTAAGTCCTAACAATACTCCCCCCCTAAACATCCACCTTGCCCTCAAGGTGGGTGATAGGAAATAGCCAAAATCTTCTGCTTCATCTTCCTCTTCCTCCTGGCGCTTCTACCTTCCCAATATTTCACTGTTTTCCGAGCAAAGAGCTTTAGTACATAGTCTTTCCAACTCACAAACTTCTCTGCAGCATAGAATATATCTAGTGAAATTTCATTTTCTTCACTAGCTTTTAAGCCTTCAATAGCCACAAGTATTTCCTTGTCTTCCTGAGGTGTATCACATACACCAGTAGCAGAATTTATGTTCATGCCCTGAACCTCTTTGCCAGTGTGATGCAACACCTAAACCAAGCAACATCTTTTGCCTGAGAATACAAAGTCAACTCTTTCAGCACCAAGTGCATCAGTCATAATTCTGTGGATCCCCATTCTGAGTACAACTTCATTTCCTTCTATCACAATCATTTCATTAATTGCTCCATTTTCAACAGTAACGAAGTATGGCAGCCAATCCCCATTTTCATTAATCACTGCAAAGTAATTCTGGTGCTTATGCATGACCATTATCAGTAATTCTTTAGGAAGCTCTAGGAAGGTGTCCTTAAATTTTCCAAGTACTGACATACGTGCCTCAACAAGATTTCCAACTTCATTAATTAAACCAGCTGCACAGTAGAATATCTATTTAAACTCTTTGAAAAATCATGGGACTGCTCCAATATAAACTTTTTGGGTTGATCAACATCAACAAAATTCCCAGAATGTTGCATCAGATCGCTACAAGATGCTGCATCTACTACCACTACAGTGGCAGATGGAGTGATATACCATTCGAAACATATCCACTGAAGGGTTGTTACGAGTGAGGGAATGGGTCATTGCTCCAGCTGTCTTTGCAGATATGTCTCCCCACATGAGATGACTTTCAGTTGCTTTAAATTGAGTATGTAAGTCAAGCTTGGAGTAGTCTAACATGCTCTCAACCCATGGCTGCAATTCTGCTTCTTGTATTTCAAGGTGTTGGGCATGGCTAGACTTATCAACATCATGAATCTGTGTGCGGTTTCCCCATATGATAGCAGATTCTTCAGAAAAAAGATAAACATGATCCTTATGAACCTCTGGTCCCGACCTCTTTTGTACCAGGCCTAAATTTTCTGAAAACATTTCCTTTGGATATCGAAGTTGTTGTCTTTTGACAAGAACAGTTTTATTTTCTGTAATGACCTTGATTTTAGGTAATCCAGTTTCAGAAACAATTAGAACTCTACTGCCAAAGAAACATGGGTGGATAAGCAGATCCACCATAAAAACTTGGCTGGGAATTAAATCCACATCCTCTGCAAGATTAGAAGAAACATAATCTGGCCATGGACTAACCGGTCTTTTCTCCTTGATTTCGTCTCTCTTATTCACTTTCTTGATTACAGATTCATTTGTCTCCATCATAATCTCCTTTATCGTCTGGGAAAAATCGTGTGCGGATTGAGAATTAACTTTTGACAAAACTGGCGATTGCGAGCTGAGAGCTCCTACTTGCAACAATTTTTTAGAATGGTGATGCAAAGAGCTATGAGAAGAGCTATGCGAAGAGATGTGCGAAGACCTCGATGACTCTGGTTTTACTGTCTTCCCTGTCTTCTGCCGGTGTCTAGGTGGAAAATCCCTAATCAAATCTTCCTTTAAAGCCTCCCAACTATCTTCTCTCTTGTGAAAGTCCCACCATTGAAACCAGCCATCTGCGGCTTCCCCCATTGCCTTTGCTGCAATGTCCACTTTAAATCTTTCTGCAATAGCTTGAACTCGGAAATATCTTTTCATCCTCCTTATCCATGCGTACGCTTCAACCTCGTGGAATAGAGGTAATTCCTCCGTCTTTGACCTAGCTGAATTCCGAGAAGCGACTTTAGACGAAGAAGGCGAACTCTGATGCGAAGAGCGATGATATGAGTGATGATTAAAACTCTGCGAAGAGGGATGCGAAGAACTTTGCGAAGAGCGAGGGAAATAACTCGGCGAAGACACATTTCGCGAATCTGCCTGAAGAACTTTGCGAAGAGCGATGCGAAGAACGATTTGAATGGTGCAAAGTGTGCGACGTCTCCGATCTGTTTCGCGACTGTGAGCAGTGACATGAAGTTCGCGATTGCAAGCCATGAGAAGTAGTTCGCGACTCCGACTGCGAAACTGTGAGGTACTTTCTTGCATGTCCCTGGTGCGAGGTATTGTGCGACCTATTCGAAGAGTGCGAACTGTTCTTCCATAGATTCTGGACTCTCATGTCCAAGTTGGTGATTGTCGCCTGAATTTCCTCCAAAGTCTCCGTCGTTTTATTCTGTTTTCTCTCCAGCTCGTTCAATCTTAAATCCATTTGCGCACAGTGATGAACTTGCTCTGATACCAATGATAAGAACTCCAAATATCCAGAAATTACAGAAATTAATATCAATGAACAAGGTAATCTTTATTGAAGAAGATGAACAGTAATCTGTACAAAGGCCAAAGCCCCCCAAAGCCGAAGCCCCAAAAGATAGAGATGTTCAGTCTCGTATCCTTCCCAGTCCCAAGACCAAATGTCTAAAAGCCTATTTTTCTTCTCCCATCTTATTCTATTTATACTAATCTAGTACACTTATTATTATTCTTGGTCTATTAGGCCCAAGTCCTAACAAACTCTTGCATACTCGCACACTTTTTCCCCTTCTAAACTTCCCTTCTACTTTCCTCCCTATTATTTTTATTAGAAGCTTACAAGTTCAAAAAGGACCCTAAGTAATCCTCCAAGGAATTAAATATACCTCATATATAGCAGCTGCTCCCTTTTGGGTCCCATCACCTCCAATTATGTAGACCTGAACCATTAAGAAAAAAAGAAATGCAGTTCTACTGTGCTCACACAGTCACACAAGGTCATAAAGATGAAATTAGAAAAAAACTAATAATATATTATTATTGTTAAGAGGAGATGCTAGTCAAAATGTGATTTACATGGGATACCTGATTAATCCCACGGTCCTGTATACTGTCAACAATTTTAGTAGTATCATGACCTCCTCGAGATGTCCCAAGAATTGTACCACCACGTTTATGTATGTCATTCACAAGCTTTGGAGTTAAAGTAATAGTATTTTTCGCATAGAACCCCCTATATCCTCCCTAAGAAGAAAACAATTATGAGGGAACAATGAAGTAATGAGCCATACAACTACTTTTCATAATGAAAAAATATTAATAATTAGCCAGTAGAATTATGCGTGCTAAATTAGGCATCACTCACCTAGTAGAGATTAACAATTATAACCAGTGTGAAATACTCAACGGTCAACACACATCCTTAGCCATAGTCGGAGTAGAAAACTAAAGGGGTAGACAAATAGACCCAAACCGATCCCCAAACGGGATGTCCCAAAAGCAGACCCCCCAATCCAATATCAGATCAGGTTTTGGTGTCATACTAAATTGGAATCCACACCCCCACGAGGATCATCAAGAGATGAGACTTAACTCAAACTTATATAATATATACTCAAACCCAGTAAATAAGTGGTGTGAGATACTCAATGCCGTATTTATACATTCATTTATTTGTTCAATAATTCTTGATAACAAAGAGGATATGACCAAAAGTGAAGAAGATATACTTCATAGCAGTGTATAATTTCAAATATATGCAAATAGGGATGTAAACTTGTGTAAAACTGATATAAAACATAGAAGTAACTTACATCTATTCCAAGGACTTTGCTGACACCATACATGTAATCAAGGCTGTGAACAATTTCCCTTATCACTGTATTTAGCCCAGGGCATAAACCACCACACGTTACAATGCATGCATGCACATCATCTCTACTAAAATATACCTTTATCATAATTTAAACAAAAGCTAATGTGAGCTTATTATAATAACTATTATTATTCACAATATTCTTGATTAAGGAAAGATTATCATATGGTAATCATGAAACATGCCTTCTGACGAGGACCAGCACGCCTAAAATGTACCCCTCTTGGACTATCACTGTGAACAACAACCTGTAAATAGGTACACATAAGTATAAACACTCCCATACAAAACGTCTGGGCCTAATCGCACCTAAGAGAAGACATCAAGATATTATTCAATAAAAGAATGTGCTGAATGACATTAATGACCTTTTGGGGAACTGTATCCTCCATGTCTACAAAGTATTGCCTGAAATCATGCAAACCAACAAAGTCTGTCAAGGTCTAAAACACCAAGATATGCCCATCGCACAGATCACGTGACTTTCGTCATTGGTGTAAATATAAGAGAAAGAAAGCTGCATGCAACTTACTTCACAACTGAATATGCAGGATTGGACCGCAATGGGTTTGGATAAGTCTGCAGGAACCCAAGCAACCCAAATGAATAAACTAAGTAGTTAAATCGCTACTCGGTAGCAACTCGGTCAAGGGCTGAGTAGCGAGTAGGACCGAGTACTCAGGATTACTCAGTAATTACTCGGCCTTGTATTAATTAAATTTAGAAATATAGATGCCCAAATTCGATTAATATATTAGTCTTATAATTCTTAAATATGGATATAATAATAATAATAATAATAATAATAATAATAATAATCCCTCTGATGAAGTAGAAAAAATCATAAACATTCGATGTTTCGGAAAAAATCAATCATCTAACTTGTATGATCCCATATGTGAAATACTTTTAAACCTAGACTGATTTGTAATGTTATTCTTCCCATTTTTATTATACCCACTCATTATTTATAAATTCCATAGTATCCCACTTCCCTTTAAACTTTACACATTTAACCCAATGTTTTCGTCATACTTCCAACTTTGCTTTAACGCCTTATTCTGTCTCATCGATCAATACAATATCATTGGCAAACATCATGCATCATAGTATTAATTCGTGACTATAACCCACTTCAGTATAAATTCTCTTATGTTACTTTTATCTTTTATCTATCTTATGTTCTTTTATCTTATTTTTATCTTTATCTTATCCTTTTTATCTTACCTTTCTTTTTTCTTTTTTCTTTTTCTTTTTGGATCTGATATCATGGATTGATTCATGTTAGCTGACCCCAAAATCTTTTGGGAATAAGGCTTGGATGTTGTTGTTGTTTGGATTTAATGTATCAGCAATTACAGATCTTGCGTAACAGACAGCTATGCAAAACTTTGGAGATATCTATAACAATAATTCTTAATCTACTTTATAATTTGACATTTTCACTACGATCTCATTTCCAAGTATAATGGAGTTGGTGAGCTAGTTAGCTACTTAATGGTTTCATGCTATAGCAGAGCAATTGAAGAGAATAGTATGCATATACAATTTCGCTAATTTACTTGATACGTATCAGACCAATTAAATGTTTAAACTTCAATATTCAAGGAGCCACATCCAGATCTAACAAATTCCAAAAAATATTGAATGCAACATAATCATGTACAATACAAACCAAACAGAAGAGAAAAAGAGAGAAGTTGTGGGCATATCATACATAATGTTGAAATAAACCTTCAGGTAGCCCAAAACAACTAATAATAATGTTCGAAAAGCACTAGATCCTAGGCCAGTGGGGCTCTGCACCTATGCAGGAGTCAGGCAGGGTTAGACAAGTCAGTTTGGGGGGAAAGCACAGCGGATGAGGAAGCTTAGCTATTAGGTTGTAGAATTAGGAATCGGTAAAGACAAAGTAGGAGTCTCAACCTTCAAACCCAAACAATAAGGTAAGAAAGTGCATTTCTTTCTTTTACATTGTGGGTGATAAGTGCGTAAGTTCCTAATGCCTCTGGGATACTCAGCAAATATACCAATTCCCATGCCAGCAATCCGGTTACACCTTTGCTTAACAACATGAGGTCACGGAACATAAACAACTATGACTCCTTTAAAAATCGGGAACACACGCAGACAATGGCCCAACTTCAGCTATATCATGCAGAAAGCGTGGAAGACATAAACCGTAATTATGTATACCATCATTGCGACATCTACACACATACATAATGACACAACATTTGGAAATAGAAATTAGGAAAAGTGCATTTCTCAAGGTATGAGGTAGATACGAAAGACAGACTACTCTAGATTCAATTTTCAAAAGCATTGCTGATAAAGACGTAAACATATATGGGTCCTCCGCGTGTAAATATAATATACTATCGTATATGTATATATATAGGGAAGAAGAGCAATACAGGAAGATCGGGTATGTAATCGGTGAGGTGAGGAACATCTTCAAGCACGTAGCCAAAGTCTCCTTTAACAACCTTCATCATCTGGAAATTCCTTTCTCCCGCGATCATCTTCGTCTTTCTTTCTCTTTGTCAAGTTTATTATATTGAGGTTCTCCGTCGAGATTCACTCCTATGGATGGGAGAAGAGGCTAATTGTGGGAATGCATGGATTGGGGGCACGTTTGTCTAAGTTGCCTCCAAATGGCGAAACTTCCACACGGTTAAGGTCAACAGCAACCCATCAGTTTATGGTGGTGTTTGATAGCAATGGATTAACCAAACAGCCATTGTTTTAACGAAGGAAAACACGGGTATTTCCAGGGGATCGGCTACAAACGGCCAATAAACAAATACCCTATGGATGGGTATTTATTCATTCAATTTACTACTTCCGTCCCTTAAAACTTTGCCAAACTTGACCAGCACGGATAATAATTAAGTAAAAATTGTGTGGTTGAGGTTTGTGCAGAGGAGAGAGAAATAACAGAAACCACAAAATAATTGATTAAAAGGGAAAGTGGCAAAATTTTTGGGGACGTCCCAAAAAGGAAAGATGACAAAGTTTTAAGGGACGGAGGGTGTAATTTTTATTGCAATTCAACATCATCATTTCACTTAACAAAGTTTTTTAGTTAAAGTCTTATACGAAATATTTATTATTATACATTAACTTTTTTCTAGTTTTTTGTTAATAATTAGAGAAAAGGGTCAAATAAGGTCTTCTACTATTACGAAATAGTCACATAAGGCCATGTACTCAATAAAGTGTCATATAAGTACCTCTACTTGTATAAAGCAATCAAATGAGTCCTAACGGCTTATTTAAAACCTCCTAATCTCGATTTTAGCTTACATGTCGATTTTTTTATTTGTATTTCAACCAATCTTAGTTAAATATTCGACATATGTCGTATAATGTATTCTAAAAAGATGGTCAGAAGTACGTTGAAACCGGGATTAAGAGGTGTTAAATAGGTCATTAGGACTCATTTGATTGCTTTTTAGAAGTAGGTGTACTTATATGACACTTTATTGAGTACATAGCCTTATGTGACTATTTCATAATAGTAGAAGGCCTTATTTGACCCTTTTCTCTAATAATTATGACTCAAACATCAATCTTTTAGGATTGGATCTCGGGGCCTACTATTATCTCAGAGGTCCAAGGTAAATTACACCGTACAGACGGCTCTACGGTGAGCACCGTACAGCCGGACATTTTTGTAATTAAATCTGCATCACCTCAACTCACGAACGGAGGACGGCAACCAAATCAGTCGCTCCATCCTCACCACTTTCAGATTCCGGCTAATATGCCTACCTGGTCGTTTATTGCTTCTGCAATTTCACAAGTGTTGACGATTAATAATCTCGTTTCTTCGGATTCTCCCTTTCCCCTTCATGTGCCGGAAGGAGCTTGATGAGAAACCATTTTCGTAATCATCTCCGGGTTCATACGGGTGTAACCGTCTCTAGCAAGGAATGAATCAAAGTGGAATTACAGCTTCACACAAAGGAATTTAAAGGAAATCGCCGATTAGTGCTTAGCATTGGCATCCATCTTTTCTGAATCGTCTCACGTAAAAAGGAACCTCAAGCAATCAAATCACAATTATGAGCATAGTAGACATTTGAAATGAGGTTTTTGAATGCTTGATTCTTAATTTATGTATACTCGTTTGATATTAATGCAATACTCATTTTAAAATGTCATATTAATGGATATTTCAATGAGTTTTATGTTAAACTCAAATGAGTATAACACCCAAAATGAATGAGTACACACAAATAAGTTTTTTAATATTTTGATACTCATTTTGTATGTTATGTATGCTCATTTGGTACCATTTTATACTCATTTTAAAAGGTTGCACATGTTAAACACTTAAACATATCATAATCCATTAGATTAACATATTGAAATTAAATGAAATTGATTATAGACATAATTTAAGACTTAGCTTTAATAAACGAAAAAATAATAAATGGATGTGATATATCAGGAATGAAGCAGATATCACTAATGTTCACTGGTAGGCTCCTAATACTCAAAAGAACATGCTCGATGCTCATCAAAATTGATTCAATACTCATTTAAGAGAATCCGTATATTTCACTAAAATTACAAGTTTGTCACCGGCTGTACGGCTGACAACGTACAACCGATTGTACCATATACGCATCCGAGGTCCAAGACACAAACCCGTATCAAACCTGATCACTGAAGTTCATTTTAGTCCATTCGACCTATTGGGGCAACATTGTACTCCCTCCTCCCTTTTCTTTCGAGAAATTTCCCGAATAGGAGTAAAAAAGTTTGAAAATTTTAAAACAGGACTGCCATGTTTTTATTCTCAAAATGGTAGTAATTACTGTCAAGTTTGGAAAATACTGCCATTTTTTAAGTCTGGTACTGCCAAAACATGGCAGTAATTAGTTCTATTTTGGGAATAAAAACATGATAGTCCTATTTTGAAATATACAAACGTTTTTAGTCCTATTTTGGGTAATATTTTTTTTCCTATTTATATGAGGATTTCCCTCCATGTTTGAGGGTCCTCTTTTCTCTCCCTACTAGCTCTTCTTCTCTCCAACAAAGCTTGGTAGCTCCACTAATGGCTTCCAAGACTTCAATACTTGTATTGTGTAAATATGGCGAGGAAAACATTAATAAAAAGAGAGCGGCTTAAACAGTAATCGGAAAAATCTCATGATTTTCACGCTTTCAAGTTTCCACGTCAAAATCAAGTGTTAACATCATTATTATAGATTTATTATCATAAATCAACGTTGAATTAGCATCATCGCTTAACATTATTATCGTAAATCATCGTCCCCAATTATACTTACTTTCATGTAAATCATGTATTGAACCTTATGAAATGGTTAAGGAATTTACGAAGTTGTAAATTTTTGTTATTACTTATGCATGAATAGTGAATTGCATGTGGGGCCCACATTGAGAGCGGGGACCACATATTATATCCATCTTGGTCTAGATAATGTGTATATGGTGGTGGATATTTTAGTTGGGCCATAACAAAGGCATAGGGTTGACCGGTTGGTCAAACGAGGCCCAATTACCGGTATTGGGAATTTATCGGATAACAGCCCGCCATGATTTTCGGAGACTTCTAAATTAAAGTTGGGGAATGTACATTCATTCTAAAGGCCCATAATAATTGAGAACATGATATATATTTTATTCGACCTGATAAAATAAAATATAATTAAAACAGTCTGAGAAATACAACTTTTGGGCCGATTATAAAGTTCGGGATATATTTGGATGACCTCCCACATGAGAGGGGGCCACACCACGTTTTTAGGCTATCAATCTTTACTTTTGTGAGCTGCAAACCATGGAAGAGTGGTGAGAGGGGGCTGAGGAGATGTATTGAGCAAGAAGAGACATGAGGTGGACCTCTCATCCACACTCATTTGATCAATGAGACAAAAGGACTATCCCTACTCCCCTCTCTCACTCAATTTCGACCAAGCAACCTCCAAGAAAGAGAAGTAAGCTCTGCAACTAACATCTTCCATAGCCAAGGCAAGCTCTAACAACAAGGAGCTTAAGGAAGAAGAAGAAGAAGTTGCAAAGGAAAAGAAAAACCTTGAGAATAGAGGTGAGAACCCCTTTAGTAACTTTTCTTCCTTCATTGAATTTCATATGACTTATATAGCATATGCGGAACCCCTAGGATAGCTCTACATGTTTAGAAATGTAGAATGAGGGGTTGGAAGGTAGTTCTAAGTCCAAGAATGGACTTAGAAGCCAAGGTGACCGGTCCGCCGGAAAATAATCTTTTATGGGTTATTTGGGTTGATATGGGTTTTGTGATAATAAAAACCTTGTTAGAAACTTTTCTAAGGAGTTCCTAGAGCTTTCACGGAGTTGAAAGAGTCATCGGCGTTATCACCGGAGTTCTTCAAAGTTCGCTAGAGTTTCGCCGGAGTTCAACCGAGAAAGGTAGAACTTCTTAAAGCTCATTCGGTGTGAGTGGACGGCTTAATGTATTGTAACTCTTGGGTTAAGTATGAGATTACCTAAGGAAATGTTATAAGTATTCATAATGATGTTTAAAAGAGTTTAAGCAAGTGATTAGCCAAGGTAATTAGGCTTATGTGAATGAAACTACATGATTATGCATGTGAAAAGTATAAAAATGTGTATAAAAACATATGTAATGTTTTGGATGGACAAAATGGCATTTATTGATTGTTTTAGACCCTATTCATGCTGCGTAAAAAATTCGGACCGAACAGAGTTCGTTTCAGGGGTCAACGGGATGTTGACCCGACAAAGGGACTAAACCGGTGCCGGTTAGGCTACTGCCCAGCCGGTTTAGCTAAAAATATGCATAACCGGCGCCGGTTAAGCTGATAACCGGTGTCGGTTAAGCTGATAACCGGTGCCGGTTAAGCTGCTGCCACCAGTTTCTGTTTTCGCTGAAAACGCGTATCGGGGCCCAAATTGAGGGGGGATTAACCCCGACCATCCTGTATAAGTATATTTTGCATGGAATTGCATGGAATATGATGTTTAAATGCTAAGGTTTGATACTTATTGATTTAATCCTAAGACTTGGTTTAGTCTTTAGTAATAATAAGATATAGACCCTATTTAGTGTGATATGTGGTAAGTCATAGGTCGGGTGGAGTACCCAACGATCGGGCATGTATCATCAAAACTCGGTTACGTCGGGTGGAGTACCCAAGGATCGGGCATGTATCCTCAAAACTCGGTTATGTAGGGTGGAGTACCCAGGGATCGGGCGTGTATCCTCAAAACTCGGTTATGTAGGGTGGAGTGTCCAAGGATCAGGTGTGTATCCTCAAAACTCGGTTATAACGTGTGGAGTACCCAAGGATCGGGCGTTGTTAGTACCCAATTTTGATAGATTTTGATGATGCCACTATACTTAGCACGTGTACATTGTATCTCAATATTGTTCGTGTGTTAGCATTCAAAATTATGTGACAAAATAAAATGTACAATTTTTGAGTCAATTTGAATATTACCGGAAAAATTAAAATGCAATAAGGTAATTTTTATTTACCTTAATAGGATATTTAGATCCTACCGGTATATATTAATTTAGCTCAAAAGTTAACTGTATGTCACATTATTAAAGAAAAGAAGCTCGGAAAATCATATACATTGAATGTATATGATTGAAGACAAAATATGACCGACATTTAATGCCAAAAACGTACTGAGGTCCGGAGTAGTGTACGCCCACATGGGACTAACTCCTGAAGTGAATTTTGGGCGGCTGAATAATGCAAGACAAGGAAATCACCGGGAAATCAGCTCCAGCACAAGAAGACAA